TCTGCCAATTTCTCCTTATGTTGGTCAAAGAATTTCAAGAAGGTGGTGTGGACGAGTGGTTAACTCTTCAGACTAGTAAAACAAGGATTGCTGGCCGCCTGGGTTCAAACCCCATCAGGGGCAAGCTGCTGTTTTATGGAGCAAGAAATTTAACACTCATTGCTTAGTACTGGTAGTTCCAGGAACAGATTTAAGAGTGTTTCAATAAGCTTATTCTAAGCTTACAACACAATCATTACCTAAAATAAATTTGTATAAACTAAAGACTTTCAAATGTAGCAATTTTAAAATGATTGAACTATTATGATATTTTCCATGTCATAAACTTTGACCCATTTTTAGCTCGACTTTTCTATGAAAAGGGGAGCTATCCTACTCGCCCCGGCGTCGGCGTCGGCGTCACACCTTGGTTAAGTTTTTCGTACCACCCCACTTTATTTCAGAAGTATTACAAGTATGGCTTTGAAACTTACCATACTTGTTCACCATCATAACCTCCATCTACAGACAAGAGTACATAACTCTGTCAAGGTTTTTGACAGAATTATGGCCCTTTTTTGACTTAGAAAGTGTATTGAGCTTGGTTAAGTTTTTTGTACCACCTCACTTTATTTCAAAACCATTGGAGGTATTGCTTTGAAACTGACCATACTTGTTTACCATCACGACCTTCATCAACAGACAAGAGGACATAACTCTGTCAAGGTTTTTGACAGAATTATGCCCCTTTTTGACTTAGAAAATACATTGAATATGGGTAAAATCCACTTATTGCCTTAACCCTTTTGAGATATTGCTTTGAAAACTTTTAATGCTATTTCACATCATTACCCCTCCCATCTGTACGCAAGAGAAGGTAACTCTGTCAAGGATTTGTTTTAAAAATTAAGGCCTTTTATCGACTTAGAATCTTGGTTAAGTTTTTAGTACCAGTCCACTTTTTGACTGAACTGTTTGAGATATTAATTTGAAAGTTGGAATACTTGTTTACAATCATGATTCCCAAACATGTCCAGGAGAAGGTAATTCTGTCAAAGATCTTATTTGAATTATGGCCCTTAACTGTCAATGTTTTGTATTATAGGCAAGCACTAAAAAACTTAAAAAATCTAAAAAAATTCATTCCTATCCACTGAACCTGCAGTGTTCAAGGGTATCACACAATTCAGTAAAATAATTCTTCACTAAATATCAGAATGCTCATGGCCATTGTTCACTTTAAAAATACAGAGATTCTTGTATTGCCTTTTACTGCAAAAACTTTTTTTATTGGCAAGCAATAAAAAAGTCGAGCGCGCTGTCTTACGGACAGCTCTTGTATATTGTATCTTGTTTACTTGACATTGTTTAGGTAAATGTGTTTTGTAAAAAGTTCAAATACACAGGAAGCATTCGCTTTGTCATTTTAATGTATTGATTTTTAGCTCGACTTTTCTATGAAAAGGGGAGCTATCCTACTCGCCCCGGCGTCGGCGTCGGCGTTGGCGTCACACCTTGGTTAAGTTTTTCGTACCACCCCACTTTATTTCAGAAGTATTACAAGTATGGCTTTGAAACTTACCATACTTGTTCACCATCATAACCTCCATCTACAGACAAGAGTACATAACTCTGTCAAGGTTTTTGACAGAATTATGGCCCTTTTTTGACTTAGAAAGTGTATTGAGCTTGGTTAAGTTTTTTGTACCACCTCACTTTATTTCAAAACCATTGGAGGTATTGCTTTGAAACTGACCATACTTGTTTACCATCACGACCTTCATCAACAGACAAGTAGGACATAACTCTGTCAAAGGTTTTTTGACAGAATTATGCCCCTTTTTGACTTAGAAAATACATTGAATATGGGTAAAATCCACTTATTGCCTTAACCCTTTGAGATATTGCTTTGAAACTTTTAATGCTATTTCACATCATTACCCCCATCTGTACGCAAGAGAAGGTAACTCTGTCAAGGATTTGTTTTAAAAATTAAGGCCTTTTATCGACTTAGAATCTTGGTTAAGTTTTTAGTACCAGTCCACTTTTTGACTGAACTGTTTGAGATATTAATTTGAAAGTTGGAATACTTGTTTACAATCATGATTCCCAAACATGTCCAGGAGAAGGTAATTCTGTCAAATCTATATATTATGCTGATTGTACAAAAATATACTGCTTCCTTGGCATAGATTTCTTGAAAAATTATGTTATTATGTCATTTACCAAGGTGTTCTGAGTGACGTAAAAATACCTTATTCTCTCAAAGTGGGTTTAATACTATTAAATTTATTTAAGGCTCAACTCAGTTTTTTTTTTCTTTCTTACCAGCCCTCTTTTGACTTAAACATTTCAAACTTTGCTGCAGTGTTCAAGGGTATCACACAATTCAGTAAAATAATTCTTCACTAAATATCTTAATGCTCATGGCCATTGTTCACTTTAAAAATACAGAGATTCTTGTATTGCCTTTTACTGCAAAAACTTTTTTTATTGGCAAGCAATAAAAAAGTCGAGCGCGCTGTCTTACGGACAGCTCTTGTATAATTATGTTTTAAAAAATAAAATGAAGAAAATTTAATTTTATGAATGAACATGTGAAGCATGAAAATTTTGATATACTTTTGAACTTATAATGTATAACATTGTATCAGTAAATCACACCGTAAGCCTGGCGAAGAATACAAAGTTTGTAAAAATTATGCATGCATATATACAAAATCGTTATTAAGTCTCGATCATGGAGTTTTAACCGAAAGTTATGATGTTGACTATGGTAAATATTGTGAAACATCCCTCTGTGGTTATATTCATACGATATAAAAGTATCTGAAAGTGTTTTTTGTTGAATTTTCAATCTGATGTCAAATAATAGGAGTATCAAGTCTAAGGTAAATTGTGACTAATCGTTTTTTTTTCTGACTTTTCATTCGGAAATTGATACTTTATCATTAAATACTTATTTGTCTTTCTTAGATACTGGATGCTTTTGTTACGGTAATTTGGTACTTTCATTTAGACAACAGAATACCGATTGTTTTCGTAAATCTCTGCGTCAAAAGAGAAGTTTTTGAAAGGTAACGCATCGAAAAGTATTTTGACATGCAATGACTGTTCACTTGTCATTTGATCATTTTTATTCAGCTTTTTTCACTTTTTGGATTGTTTTGGACCTGCGATTTAAGATTTAGTTCGGTGCTGTAAAACTTTTTGATTGTTGGAAGATGTGTTGATTATTTTATCAAAATTTTTGATATTTAGATAAAGCAATGGATGTGATTTTGTTGGCATAACAGTTTTTCATGATTTGCTGCGTTACAGTGTCCTAAACTTCAATTTCGACCAAATTAATGGAATTTTAATCTTAAATAATTATGAGTTTTAGCTGTAATAATTTCTAAGAAGGGAGTATTATGAAAGTTAGATTTCATGTTTTGATCAAGTTTTAAAGTCAGTGTTCTATAATTTGAAATTTTATGATTTTTATACAGGTATAAATCTAATGACCTGACTGGACCCTCATAGAAATTGCATTGAATGTTATTTTTAGACTAACAAAAGTCATGCATATTTGAAAGTTATTCTTTTATTATTCCAACTTTGAGTAAAATTGTAGAATTAATTGGAAAAAAAAAAGAAGAAAGATGGAACCAAAAGTTGTGGTGAACATTCATATGAACAGGTTAAACAGACTGGTGTTAAAAGTTTCCATAAATGGGGACTGTAAAATTGAACCAAAGGTTTTAAGAACCAGAAATATTAGGAGGAATTTTACTTGCAAAAATACATATAAAAACTTCTGGAGAAAGGTTTGTTCTTACTTGTTTTGTGTTATTGTTGTGTTTTTTTTATTTTTGTTTGGTTATTTTCTTGATTTATTGATGATTTAGGTGGCGCAACATATGCAAATAAACCGCCTCCGTGGTCGAGGGGTTAGAGTCGATGACTTCTAATCCAATTACCTCTCTGGCGTGGGTTCGATCCCCGGGAGATGCTTTGGTAGTTTAGCGTGGAGGAAGGTAGTCTAGTACTGGTGTAACTCTCCAGGAATGATGGTTAGGAAACTACCCGCCTATATGACTGAAATACTGTTGGAAAAAGGCGTAAAATGAAATAAACAAACAAACAAACAAACATATGCAAATAAAGCACATGTTTCAGGTTGCATGCTGCAATATATCATTGTTGATAACTGTGATACCAATGGGGTCATGACAGTATAAATGCTTGAAGTTTGAATGTTAGAAAGCAAAACAAGAGAGGATGTATTATATTGCAACATGCATATAAATATTAAAATCCTGTCTTCTCATATTGCATGCAGTTTTTTTGTTTATTTTTTTGGAAGTTACTTAACATAAGGATTCAACTTGCTTGCAAGAAAGTTTTCCCACTTTTGCTGTAAAGACAAGGTAAAACGATACGTGGCAAAGAATAATTGTTACTCCCGTGTGGTGTATCTAATAGCATATTTCTGCTAAGGGAAGTAACTTGTACAGTTTTAATTTGATTGCATGTAAGATTTCTTTCCCTTTCACTGTAATCTGATCCCTACAACATCATGATCTGCTGTTAAATATAAAATAAATATAAAAGTTACAGACAACACTCAAAACTGAATATAATTGTGTAAAGAAATCAGATGACCTCTGTACTGATAGTTTGACTGAAGGAAAATAATAGAAAATAATGTTCAGAAGAAGGGGTATTTTAAATTTTCAAATGCTTTTTTAAACCCGATTTCTCAACTTTTTTGTTTATCCCAATTTATCAGCTCCTTTATTTATCCCAATTTCTCAACTCCTTTGGTTACCCCAATTTCTCAACTTCTTTGTTATCCCAATTTCTCAACTCCTTTGTTATCCCAATTTCTCAACTCCTTTGTTTATCCCAATTTCTCAAACTTTTTTGGTTATCCCAATTTCTCAACTTGTTTGTTTATCCATTTGTTTGATTATCCCAATTTCTCAACTCCTTTGTTTATCTCAATTTCTCAAATTATTTGTTTTTCCCAATTTCAGGCTGCAAGTGAGGCCAGTAAGCGTTGCAAGCGTCTGGATGATATGTGCGATGATTTGGAAGATTTCTACGGCAAGTTACAGGAGCTTGATCAATGGTTAGATCACGCCTTTGAACGGACGGAGGATCTACAGTCTTCCAAGAATGGCATTGACGTACAATACAGTAACTTCAAGGTAAATTATTCAAGGCCCAATTTTAATAGGAACAATAATTTAACAGTTAAAATTACATTTTTGTCTTATTTCGTCTAGAAAGCTTAAAGGGACTTAATTTGTGAACTTTTTTAACAAAGCTGAAGATTTAGCTCCCTTGAATACTAGTTAATTAATCGTGTATATCAAAGTGAAGTATATGTGTGTAAGGAAAAACACTGAAAGATACAAAGTTGTTTATGGTATCATCAATCTAAAATATTGTTTAATATCAATGCCAGGGTAAATGAGTGCACATTTAAATGACATGTTAACTTTTAAATCTCAAGTTAATCTTTTAAAACAGATATAAGAGCAAATATTTGATCCCATTTTAACATTTTAAAAACCAATATAGAACAATTTATATGTCAAGTGGGGATCGTAAATTAACACTGTAGATTTAAGCTGTCATATAATATACCAGTATTTGATGTTGAAAGTTCAAACTGCAGTGTTGGCTATTTTGTTATGTTTTAAAATGAGTGGAATTTTCAACTTCTTATAGGTAAAAGCTTGATTCTATTTTATATCTTATAATATCATATAATTACACTGTTTTTGCATTGTTTTATAGAAACATGTATTAATCACAGATATATGAGCCGCACCATGACAAATCCAACTTAATGGGTTTGCGACCAGCATGGATCCAGACCAGCCTGCACATCCACGCAGTCTGATTAGGTTCCATGCTGTTCGCTATCAGTTTCTCTACTTGTAATAGGGTTTGCAAGCAAACAGCATGGATCCTGATCAGACTGCGAGGATGCGTTGATTGGTCTGGATCCATGCTGGTAGCAAACGCACTGTGTTGGTTTTGTCATGGCGCGGCTCATATATTAAATTTAAATATAGACATTGTATATTGAGGAAAATATTAAATTTGTTGTGGACATTTTGACTTGATGCACTTCATTTTGCTGCCTGCAGCAATATGGGATTATATTATAAATATATACTTATAAATCCAATTCTTTAAGCTACAGTAGATGTATAATTGAAAATGTTCCAAAAGTCATCTAAAACTTAAATATATTATTTAACTGCATCAAATTTTTTACACAAATACAAAAAATAACAAAATGTTTACATAATCTTGTTTGAAAAATATTGACGAATCTTGTTTAAAAAATATTGACGATTTAAGTTAAACCTTTATATCAGTTATATTGACTAACAACAACAACAACAAATATGTTTTTTATCATCCAAAGACTTGATAATGAAATAATTAGTTCACCCTTTTTTTCCTGTCAATCTAATTAAAATCCAGAACATGAAAAAATATTGAAATAAACCTATTTCTTAACCATATTATGGTAATTAAAAATATATATATTCTATGAATACAGGGTTAATAATTATTCACTCTACTAACAAATACACACACTACATAGGAACTGCTCATCAAAGGGAAAATATTTACCGCCTTTGATTGTAAAAATTTTAAACCATAACTTGAATTTCATTTGTCCAATTCAAAGATCAATTAATTGATTACTATGTTTATTTACATAAAATGTATATGGTACCTAATGTAGTGGTAATGTAAAATCATTCTTGTAAGTGGTGGAGTAAAATTTTTAATTTAATTTTGTTGTCCAAATACCGTATGTCAGGCATTGTTTTAATTTTTGCAAGTATCTTAATTTTAGTTGTTAGTTTACTCTAAATATTTCTAAAATTCTAAATGTTTCTAAAAATAGATCTGGTAATACAAGAATTTTGCGATTTAAATCTGTTAAATTGGAGTTTGGGCTCTTCTGCTCAGGATGTGCTCTCAAATGTAATGTCTGAAATGAAATATGTAAGACTTAATCACAGTTTTTAAATAATTTTTAGCTCTACAGTTATGCTTAGAAAATATTGCCATACACATGTTAACTATGTGACTTAGTTAATGTTATTTAGTTGATTGTAATTAAAAATAAGATTAAACAATTCTACTTAATTTTGTTAAAAAAAATTATTAATTGCTTATTTAAATATCTTACTATCAATGAATACAAAATTAATCTGAAAACTTCAAAATTTTACATAAGAATTACTTCCCTTTATAAAATTACAAATTTTTCCTTGCTGCAAAATAATTGGATATATAGCCTTACCAAATTTTACATCACTATTTAATATGAGGTACAGGGTTTACAATATCACACTCAAATAATAAAATAGGCAGTAAATGAATTGTAAAGAAATACTGTAAAAAGGACTGTTTAATATTGCATTTGGGTCAATAAACTTTGTACACCCAACAATTAAATGAAATTTATAATGATCAATATAACAAAAACAAGGCTATTCAAAGTTAACTGTTTGGTTACGGTCATGACATTATATTTCAAAGTAAAATTTTAGTAATGTAAAATTGTTAGTACATAATTAACCCTTTAAATTTAAGTCAGTGGTCAGTTGTCAAGACTAATTAAGGTTGTTGACTTCAAACCACTTGCCTCTGACCGCTGTGGGTTCAAAGCCCGACTTTGGATTCATTCATTCAACCAAAAATCCCAACCCCTTTCCGGACTGCACTGTTGCCTTATTTAACTTAGAGTTTAGCTTGTCAGTGACTTAAAAATGTACCTTTTGATGGCCATTCATGTATAAAAACAAATGAATTAATGGGAATTACTAACACCATGACATCTTAAAACTGCAATAGATGGGTTTACTGAAAGAAAACAAATATTTTATAAGCAGTCTTAAGTTAATCACAATTTTTTTTTAGCATAAACCAATAACCCAAGAAAAAACTTTCATTTAGCCTGAATTTTATTATATTGAAAACTCAGAACTTTTATGAATACTTAAAAAAGAATGCAAACATTCCATATATCGAACTTTATTGATACTTCACAAATGATATAATTGAAGATAACAAAACAAAATAAAAATCAGGGGGAAAAAAAATTAATTTATAATCAGTATACTTAAAAGTGTTTACTATTTGAAAAGGATTTAGTTAAACTTTTGTTTCAACAACTTGATAACAAAAAATATATATATATAAAAAAACTTGCAAAAATTATTGATTGTAATTCTACCTTATCAGAGATTATTGATTAAAGGCCATTAAAAACTTGTTATTGTGAATATATTAGATAGCCTTGTAGTGGAACATTATGATGAAAATTGTGAAAATTGGTTTGAAAATGTGATTGTTTTAATGCAAAAGGGGGACTATATTGATTTTTATATTGTTTTTTTTTATGTGAAACCCAGTGAAAAGCGTAGATGAATAATTGAAAATAAATTAGATAGCTTACATGCATACATGTTCGAGTGCTTAACGGTTTATACATTGAAATAGTGAATTGGATATAAATATTTCATATGCATGGGATTTTTTGTTTGGTATTTAATAACACTTGAAAGTTCATGGCATTTTAATGTTACAATATGTTTGTACTTTTTTTTTTACTTGAAAGTTCAGTGCATGCATTTTAACAAATTACTACTTTAATGTATAATAAGGAAAAATTAAGGAAGTTACATGTGTATTTATTTCAACGTTTTTGAATTGTTTTATGACAAGTGTAAGAATTTCTATATTAAAAATTGATTGTGAACTAAATATTTGGTACAGACATTGAAAATTTTATGTTTGCTGTAAAAATTAGGTAGGAGAGAAAGTGAAATGAAGGAAATTTGAACATTGGAACTTTTACCAATATGTTATACAGACATGTAAATTTGCACAATGAAATTGAACTAAGTGAATTGTAACCTATGTATATACATATATACAGAAAATTTCAAGTTAAAGTTGCTGAAAACGGTCCAATATTTTCCCATCTAGTTCTATCGTATCGCAGTTATTGATAGAATAATAGATTCATGAAAATAAAAAGTAAGACTAATATATTAAATTATGACAGTTAAAACTTATATCTGATAGCAGCAAATAAAATTGCAAATGAAAATTTAAGCCAAAATGGATTTATAAGAGAAATTGAAATCACGAGGCTTTTCCAGGAAGTGAATACTGGAAGTTAACGCAAGACAAAATCAATTACAGTAAGACAGGTGGAATTAAGATAAGTTATATGGGAAAATTGGGGAAAAAAGGAAACTTTGATTGCTATAAAGGCATTGACTTGTTATCAAGTGTGTATATTTATGGTCGATATTTATTGACCATGATTGTGTCTATCATAAACTGTAAAATTAGTGAATAAAACTTCAAGCAAGTTTTCAAGTTAATATTTTTATTGACAATACTTAACACAGTCTAGTGTTTGGAATAATTTTCCATGGAAAAATAGTGAAAACAAAAAGATATAAATTGAAATGCATTAAAATTTACATGGAAGTTAATTGACACAGTTTATGCAGGAAAAAAGGACCGGAAAAGAATGTAATGGCAAATGGCAAAAGAATTAAACTCACATATAAACTAAGTATATAGATATTATACAAACCAAATTAAAAGTGGATTATTGATTTGGACAATTGAAAAATTATGATGTATGATTATTTAATCTTACATATAAAAAGTTCATGTGTATAACACTAAAACAGACATTTTGGCGGAAAAAAAAGTTGAAGTTTTTATTTGATTATTGATATTTTAATATCTTACGATCTTAATTCTTTAACAATCGCTATACAGATCAAAGATAGATATTTATTTTATGAAAAGATATATTCTTATACATGTAGTGAACATATAAAGATCTTTAAAGCTGGGGTACGTGGCTGTAAAGTTCATGACCTGTGAGGTAGAAGAATAAAAATACTACGTTAAAATTGAATCCCAAATAAAAAAAGTAAATATAGTTGTTTGGAAATGTTAAAAAGGAGCTTTGAAAATTGTGTTGATATATTGACCGGATTTTTCCGTTACTGGGAAATGACAGAATTATTCAATTAAGGGAGTATTTATAAGTTTGAATTTCTAACAACTAAATTAAAATTGAATTTATAACAACCAAAGCAGAATTGAATTTATAACAACAAAAGCAAAATTCAACTTTTTCAGAGTGGGATAGAATTATAAGATGAAAAAAGTTGCGAAGATATAATGTTACTATAGAATAATCACTCAAGTTTTTATGACTTTCAAGTGTACTCACTGACCCTTGGCAAGATATCATGATACCAGTATAGTCCTTCATTGAAAGACATCGTATTTTCTTTATTTTTACATTTTTACGTCTATTGGAAAATGCGAAAAAAAAGCGGATTTGACCAATGTAAAAACTGGCTTCAAATCCACAGTTTACGTCTAAATATTTGGACTAAATACCAATACTGATTTGTGTGTTTTGTATTTGAAACAGACTCTGTACTTATCAATAAAGGGAGTTAACTGGGACTGAATTTATTAATAGAAAACAAATTCAAAAAGAAATTCTAAGTCCCTAAATTTGATGCTCCCAATATTTACATAAATAACTTTTATAATGGTCATATTTTGCAGTGTTATTTGAAAGAATTATAAAGCATAAAGCAAGATAACGTACCTTGCTTTTTATGCATTGAATTATTTAGTTAAATGTAAACAGACGGGGTATAAAGAGATAGTATATGATATTTTGAGGCAGAATCTATTTGCAATGTCATTGAAATCAAGCCTAATATCATAAAAAGTCATTGAAATAAAGATAAAAAAAGAGGGGAGTATGAAATTGGAGTAAGACCATGTGTTTGGAACGAAGTACAATGTATGTTTTGACTATGCACAACCAAGTTACGCATTTTGAACTTAATGCTATATTTACAGAGTTTTCTTTCATAATCGTCAGGACATGATTAAATTATTAAAATATGTATTGGAAATATGAAATGTGAAAACTGGTATGAGAATAGTGTTTTTGTGTACATTTTGCTAATTAGACATTGTTACCAATAAAGGAATTATTGTTATTTGCCATTGAAATGCATACACTCCATCAAGACAATACGATTAATATTGAAATGGTTATGACGAGTATGTTTTGCCTACAACATGCTTTAATTTTGTGAAGTAGTTATTTGCATTTTGGTCATAAAAAATGCATAGAAATCACTTAAGTAATTGAGGTATATTAGTTGGAAATGGAGTAGGAATAATGTATCGTAATTCTACAACATGTTTAAACCCAGTAAGAATTATAAACCATATAAAAGATCTAGCATATGGAGTATAGAAAATCACGTCTGTATGTTTTCCAACCATCAGGACTTTGTTGAAGAGCTCCAAGGGAAGGAGGAAGAAATGTCAAAGGTCATCAAGATGGCAGACAACTTTAAAGAAGAAGCGCAGGTATTGCATTTTGCTATGAAATTTCTAATAGCAACCAACTTCTGCTGTTTGTAAATTTTAAAATTTCAAGGTAAATTAATTATGAAATAAGTAAAATGTACATTTTATAGGACAGTCATAATTTGCAAGATTTTGTTGAACATGTATTTGAAAAGTTATCCATTTGTTTAAATGTCTAGAAAAATTGAATTGAAATATTTGAACAGAAAAAGATAGGCTGAAAAATTGCTCCTTGTCAACACTAGTTTAATGATACTACCATATATAGAATAAGTCTGTGTTTAATGATAGATTAAAACATGTTTATTCATCAAACCCCTATTCAGGATTTTGAAAAAGAGGCTGAAAATTTCAAGAAGCGTCTTCAGTTTATGCCGCCTATACAAGAAGAGGGAGATAATCAGGTCATCGATGATGAACTTGAGGCTCTCGAAGCCAAATACAAAGATATTTCCCGTAAATGTGCCAAACATTTGGAAAAACTTTCCGGTCTTGTCAAATACAAGAAGACATTTGATGACCTGAATGATAAGCTTGAAAACATCTATCCGACCATTGAGCAAGCTCTTACTGACATTGATGAAGAAATGTTCGGTAAAAATCCTGATGAGGATAAGAAAAACTACGCACAACTTAAAGATCTGAAAGGAGATTTGATTGGTCAGGAAAGAAAATTGAAGGACTTTACTAATGCAGCAGATAAACTGGTTGCAGGCTTAAATGAAATGGGTATGAAACATAAAGCTGATGATGTGAAAAAGAAGGTGTCAAATGTAAGGGATAAGCATGATCTTCTAAGTGAAGAGATTGCAGAAAAAGAACAACAGTTGGATACAGCAGTGTCTCAGCAACAAAGTGTTGTAAATAGATTGGAAGGTTTAAAAAATTGGGCTGCTGAAGCAGAGAACATTCTAGATGAAAGACCACTCATAAGTTTGGATAAAGACAAACTGAACCAGCAGATGCAAGACCAAAGAGTTCTTACGTCTGAAATAGAAACTAACAAAGGAATGTTAGAAAGATTGTCACACGAGGCAGCAGAGACGTCGTCTGCTCAGGATGCTGAAGAAGCTTTATCTGACTTGAGTGAGCTTCTAGGTGAACTTGAGCGTAAGGCTGAGATCAGGATGTATGAACTGGAGGAAGTGTTGTCAAGTATAAATGAGATTGATGGAAACATGGTCAGTGTTGATGGTTGGGTAACAGAAGCTATCAAGAATCTTAAAACTAAACCAAAAGGTAAGCAAGTTATGACAAAATTGTTTTTTACTGAACCAATTGATGTTACACTTGCATTTTTCTGTCCAAAGTTATTATCTTGACTGTCTATAATATTTGATTTTAAAATCATTTAAAATTTAAAATTTTTGAAAATATACCATGTGATGACTAGGTCTTTGAAAAGTTTAAAACAATGTTTCTCATTTAGCTCATTGTTTTGATATATTTGTTATCATGCAATTTTATGAATCCCCATACTGCTGCAAAATTCATTTACTTTTGTTGGTGCTTTGTATTGAAAGTTTAATTGAAAAATTTGGCAATACAGTCATTATATTTACTGCTGTTTTGCCAGTGTGTAAAGATAATGTGTCAACATGGTGATGAAGTCATTATTCATATATTGACTACACTATATTTTGAATGACATAAAATATAGCGAATGTATAACTTCTTATTTCAGGCACAACACAGAAAGCTATGAAAGCAAAGGTTGACATGCTGTATGGAGAGAAACGTGAGAAGGAATTTGACATGGAGAATTTACGAAACACGTCACGACGTCTGATGGATGATGATAGAGTGTGTGACCAGTTTGTCATGAAGGAGGGTCTGTCAGAGGTGGAGGCTAAATGGCATGAACTGACAGAGCTGCTTGTCCAACAAGTCTCTTTAGAGGTATGCTTGCTTTATTTGAGCCACGTCATGACAAAACCAACATAATGCGTTTGCGACCTGCTTGGTTCCAGACCAGCCTGTGCAGTCTGATCAGGATCCATGATGTTTGCTTACAAACTCTATAACAAGTAGAGAAACCGATAGCGAACGGCATGGATCCTGATTAGACTGCGCGGAAGCGCAGGCTAGTCTGGATCCATGCTGGTCGCAAACGCAGTATGTTGGTTTTGTCATGACGCGTCTCATATAGTTTTTAGCTCGACTATTCGAAGAATATGAGAGCTATTGTTGTCGCCCCGGCGTCGGCGTCCGCGTCGGCGTCTGCGTTGGTTAAAGTTTTTTGTAAAGTCAAATATCTCAATAATTACTTGAGATATTCAATTGAAACTTACAATACTTATTTATAGTAACAAGGTACATCAGATTGACAAGTTTGATAACTCTGCCTACAATATTGACAGAATTATGCCCCTTTTTAACTTAGAAATTTTGGTTAAAGTTTTTTGTAAAGTCAAATATCTCAATTATTGCTTGAGATATTCAATTGAAACTTAAAATACTTATTTATAGTAACAAGGTACATCAGATTGACAAGTTGGATAACTCTGCCTACAATATTGACAGAATTATGCCCCTTTGGAACTTAGAAATTTTGGTTAAAGTTTTTTTGTAAAGTCAAATATCTCAATTATTGCTTGAGATATTCAATTGAAATTTAAAATACTTTTTTATAGTAACAATGCACATCACTTTGCAAAATTGCATAACTCTGCCTGCAAAATTTGAAGAATTATTTGCCCCTTTGAAACTTAGAAATTTTGGTTAAAGGTTAAAGGTCTTCAAAGATATTTACTTGAAACTTTACACATGCACTTAGATTCATAATTGGAGGGTCATAATTGTATGTCACTAACCAAGTTCCATAACTCGATCTTGCATTAAAGCTGATTCATATCCCCTTTTCTACTTAGTCTCTTGCAAGTTTTACATATCTCAATAACTATTAAAGATATTTATTTAAAACTTCACATATGCATTTAGGGTCATAATTGTAGGTCACTGACAAAGATCCATAATTCTATCTTGCATTTAGGCTGATTTTTCTCCCCTTTTTCAACTTAGAAATTCATGGTAAAGTTTTGCTTGTAAGCTGTTATCTCAATTACTACTGAAGGGTTTGTGCCTTTTTTTGGGACAATTTTATGCATTCATAATAATAAAGCAGTGATTTACTTGATAAAACATCTTAATTAGAAGCCCTTGTACCTTTTCTGTCAAATTTATGTATTCATAGGTAATTAGTATTATTATACTCAATAAAACAACCTTGTGACATTACCTTCTGAATAGTCAAGCCAATACTGTATAATTAGACTCTCTCTAAGGCCTATAACATGAATTTATTAAAAAAAAATTAGACCTTTTGTGATCTTAAAAAATTCAACATTATCAAGGCTCTTTTACTATCAAGCACTTAGAATAGTCGAGCGTGCTGTCCTACCGACAGCTCTTGTTAGCTCTCCTATTCGAAGAATAGCGAGAGTGATAAATGTACTCGCCCCATTTGTCAATGTCATCACTATATGGTTAAGTTTTTGCTTTTCTGTTATCGGCAAAACTACAGGAGGGAATTGGTTGAAACCTCACACACTTGTTCTCTGTGATTATCAAACATGATGGGCACTGGTCACAAAACTCATGTTTTAACAAAGTTATGTTTTGTTTCTGACAGTTTGGATATGCAGACTGGCCCCATAAATATTGACTGGTAGGGATGGTATGTTTTTATCTTCACAAAGTTGACACTTGGTTAAATTTAAGGTATGATTGTGTGATACAGAAGATAAAGTTAGTTTTTTTACAGGGGTTCTCTGATATCACTGTATATAATTATTATGAAGGATATCATCAAAATACATTTAAGTTTATAACATGATTTCAGGCCCTGACAGAGGTTGATGGAATGTTGAAATATCTGGATAAGGCTGAGAATGAAATAAACACGGCAGAACCTATCAGCATCGAGCCTGAGACCCTAGGAGTACAACTGAAGGAAAATGTGGTAGGTGTTATTGTACACTGTTATTGTGCAGCAGCTGAGTGGTTAAGGTCAGTGACCTGAAGCCATTGCCCCATACCATTGTGGGTCTGAATCCTGGCAGGGACTTTGGTTAAGTAAGGTTATAGTTGGTAGGAAGTTCTACTCTGGTGCCTTTCTGTTTGAATTAATGCATTGAGGGGCATCTTGGGTCTTTCTTCACCAGTAAAGCTTGAAAGTCACCATATGACCATTACAACATGTCATGTGACTTAACCCCTCTTTTCACCATTCCCCCCCCCCCCACCCCCAAAAAAAGTAATTCTGTTCTGCTGAGTATTCAGTTAATGAGCAATATAATGTGGTTAGCATCAAAATCATAGGAATGGATATAAAGTTTTTCATTTGTATCAAAATTTCTAAAAATATTGTCTCCAAATTGCAGTCAAAAAATGTTTTTCCCCAAGGGTAATATATTAAACATGTCTGAAAAGTTTGCTAGTTGATTTATTTTGTGGGAAAAGATTTTCTTATTCAATAAAAATTGTTAAACAATCAAAAATAAAGAACTATCGGTAGTAGTTTCATGTGAATTTTTTATTCTGAACACCTATGGATCATGCTGTCCAATTTCTTTTATTTCTACTAACATAAATATACGAACCAAATTGGTGCTCACACTTGTAGCAGGCAACTTTGTATGTCCTTAACACCTTGATAAATTTAGAGCTCTTCACCTTTGTGCACTTTGGTAATTCTTAACCATAATTCTTGACCCAATCCTTGTTTTATATGTAAGAATTATTGATGAAACTGTGGATGCCTGTTTAATTCATTTTCTTTTCGTTTGTGAAACACTTGAAATTGTTGTATGTGAGAAAATGGAGAGTTAATGCAATTTATTTTATGCATCATTTGGGGATATTATTTGGTCAATTAACCCTGACATCCCTTAAATTATATAATGGTCTTGCCCAGCTTTCAATTTGGAATAGTCCATTCTTATTTTAAGTGGTTTCATTATCTAAAAGCTTATAAATTTAATTTCTGATAATACATTTTGTCACCTTATTGCAATAACACGCTAACCCCTTATATGATTCAATAGGAGTTAACCTATTACTGCACTAATGTGATAATATAGAGTTTGGGTCTTACAGAAGTGCGAGCAAACCATCTTTAAAGTGGTTTCCATTAATTCAGTATTTCTCTATTCTGGGGTGTTTTGACCTTGGCACTCTTTACGGAAGAGAAACTCCTGAGCTAAACTCATTCAATATTCATGCAATTAGATGTTCCAAGGAAATGATTTCCTTCATTTTTATACTAGAATTATATTAGGTCATGAACTTGTGACATCATTTTGTAGGGAACTTGCATGAATAATTTAATAAGTTTTTCGAGCAATATCTGAACATTGGCTCAGTCTTTAGTATTTACATGCTGGATAAATCTGCAGTGATGGCTTTATATTTAAAGTTACAGGTACAAAATGTGGAAATCTTTAACTAAATTTTATAAATTTCACAATTATAGGAGTATTTATCTCTTACTTAAAGTGAAGAAAACAAGAAAGAAAGATAAAATTCAATTTCATTAATGTGAATCAGACTTAAAATCAGACAGATAAGTTATAAGAAAACATGTGAAAAGTGTTGTTTTTTTTCCTTGAAGTGGTGTTTCACCTATGAAATATGTATTGTCAGAAAATTCTATTCCCTTGCCAATTGAATAATGTAAATGATTAAGTGTAAAATTGAATTGAAATGAAAAAGTGGTGTTGATTTTTCAGGAGTTATGTCTGAATTTTGGATGTTGGTATTGTTAATGGCATTTATATTATTTATTCGGTACATGTTCCTGAAAAAATGTTGTGTTTTGTGGGGTGGGGGGAATGGAATTTAATTTCTAAGAAAAGTAAACAAGCTTTAAAATTTAATGCTTGTTATTTAATTATAATGTAGTTTAGCTGAGGCAGTTAAGTTATAAAGTTCAGACTAAGGAATGTAAAGTTCAGGCTTTAAGAATGTATTTCATTATGTTAAATAGATAGAAATAGAAATTTAATGCATGTCCAATGATTAATTTCAGTCATTTAATGCCGATCTGAATGAAAAGCGTAATGCAGTAAAGGATATTATCAACAAGTGTAACAAGATGTTACGCGAGACAACAAACGCACAGACGGACGAAATAAAAAGTCGACTTGAAAGTATTAAAGCCCAGGTATGATCTTAGCATCTATTTTACATCATATTTGACATGATTTTATGATATCCATATCATAATGAATCATGATTTAAGATTACTTAATGATTAACTTGAGTTGTCTTTTGCTTAAGTTTAATTTTGCTAAATTTAGATTTCACTGTATCCTGAATATCATCACCTTAGTTTAATTACTGGTTAACTCCAGTAAATATTTAGAAGGATTTACGTAACCTGTTACTGCACTAAGGAGAAGATATACTAATTTATCCAACAAAGTTTTTCTCAGATTGTTTTAAGTTAACATCTGCCTGTACCAAAAGTGTTTTATTCAATATTGACCTGAATTTTTTTAATTATTTCAACATAATAATAAGAGAAGTCAAAGATAGCCACATTATAAATTATCATACTGTCTTATAGTTTTTGGAATTTTTACCTCCAGACCTTAAAGAAAGAGTAAAGCCTTAAAAAATTTTCTTTGTTTTTCTGTATTCAATTCTATTTCTTTTGAAATATTAAAAAAATTATTACCTCTACATTGTTTCATCACCTTGACATTGTTTGAATGACAACAAAATATAAAGTGTATTTAAAAACAATAATGTTATCTATAACTATACTTAAAGTGGTGGCATGGCTGTGTGGTTAACGTGTCAGACTAGTAATCTATAGATCACAAGCTATGTGAGTTGAAAACCCGCCAAAGGCAAGCTCTTGTTTCCTTTAGCAATTAACTTTACCCTCATTGTTCAGTACTGGTTCGTTCCAGGAACAGATTCGAAAGTATGTCTATAGGCTGATATCTTTCTACACAATCAACTAAAATTATATATAAACCAACTTTACTTTGACAGGCTGATATAGTATGTCACTTGAGTGCAGACAGACTACAGCAGTTAGAGGCTGCGTTACCCCTGGCAACATCATTCAGTGAGAGTCACGCCGAGGTTGCCGGGTGGCTGGATGAGATGGAAGCCGAGCTGAAGGCACAAGGCTCTCCCGGGGACACCCTGGATCAAGTGAAAAAACAGTATGAAAATCTTAAGGTAAAGACTTTTATCTTTTAGACAAGGAGAAAAATAAATATTATGAATGTTTAGAAATTTTTCAAATTAGTAAAAAATATTGTCAAGTGCATACTGAGGTTCCACTTAATTTTGTGCCTCTTGTGGCAGAGGGGTTGCCTTTACGGGTTGAGGCATCAGACCCGAGGTTAACTTACAACATCTTTCCTGTTTCTGTGCCGTATGACCTAAACTGTGTTGGTGCGCCATAAAACCAAACAAAAAGAAACTGAATTTTGTAGGCATGAAATTTTGTTATTTTGACAAAAAGGACATTTTCCTGTCTTTTATAAATTGGTTGATATTATTTGAAAAAACTTAAAATGCAAGTAATGTGATGCAAAAATAATCTTACATTCCACAAAATAAAACTTTTTTTGATCTTAAATTTGTGGAGTGATGTTTCCTTGAAAATCACTAAAATTAGGGCCCCATAAATAATAATGATTTTGCAGTAAGTGAACTAGCTATCCGCAGAAATAGCTTACAAATATTAGAATATGGAGGAATTGTTAATATAATTTTTTTAAGGTTGAAATTTTGAAAATTCATTTATTTATCTCAAGGCATATTTCTCTATATCTAAACATGAAAATACATGAATAGATTCGCTTTATTTCTATCTACAGACAACCCAACAGATAATAGAAGACAGGAAACCTTTTATAGATGACCTGAATGCCACAGGTCTAGAACTAATGGAATTATGTGGCGATAGTGATGCCGGAGACATACAGACAAAACTTGTCAACGTAAACGAAAGATTTGAAAAACTGAAACTTGGAGCGAGAGGAAAACTTCGAGAGATGTCCGACGTAAGGCAGAACATGACACAAGAGGTTTGTTTGACTAATGTTTGAAATACTCTAATTTTAATACACTTGTTCTATAGTGAAATTGTAATACTCGGGACTGTCTATAGTAATTAACAAATTACATGGATGTACTTTTAATTGTTTTTGCGTGAATTTATTTTGTACATCTATAATGCAACCTAAATGTGATAAATTTTGCTAGGAACATAATTATGTAAGTAATTCTTACTTTAAAGTAAAGAGCATAATTTATAGTCTTAAAAAGGTAAAGAAAACGAGCTGTTGGTTTCTTTGAGCAAGAAACTTTACACCCATTTCTCAGTAACTGATTTGTTCCAGGAATGGTATTGTGAGCGTCTCTATAAGTTTACATGTTCCTGCTTAGCTCAATAGGGAGATCATTAGGTTTGTAATCCAGGGTTCACTGATTCAATGCTTGAGCGAGGTGAAATTTGATACCAGGCATTGAGTGTAATGGTCATTTGTCTCCCACCGCTGATTCAGAAATCATGTTAGACTAGAATTATATTTAATGAGCTGATATTTTTAGAATTTTGTTTTCTTTAATTTGTTTATTATAAATTTATTGAGATTTGATATAATAAATAAGTTGATATTTGTTCAGGTGTCAGATGGGTTGGATAATTTGTTAGAGGACCTTTCTGGCTTGAACAGAGTTATTGTCAATGCTGACCCAATACCAGCCAGTACAGATAAACTCAAAGATGACCTTGAAGAAAATAAGGTAAAACTGTAAATTATCTTACATTTCAAAGCTTGTTTGCTTTTTCAGTTACCATGTATTAGCAGGAATGTTAATCAATTTTACAATAATTTTTCCCCACCTGACAGACTGTTATAAAATTTTTCATATTGTTTGTTTCCCTCAACAAAAGGGACATAAAATTTTATTGATATTGTTATGTTGAGAACACTGTTATTATAAGACACCAGGAGATTGGTTGTCATTCTGTACAGTTCTACAACTTTGTAGACAAAAAAAAATAATCACAACTCCCACACAGCAGGTGGGTTTGAATCCCACCAGGAAATTTCATCAGATTCTGATGGAGATTTACACGTTTTGTGCAAGGGATGGATGGTCCTCATCTCTATTTCTGAAATAGAACAGATGGCATCTTCAGCCATTTAGTAATCAAATAGTTGAATGATTAAGACTGGATCATTTCTTCAAATGACATTGCATGTTAATATTAGTTTATAAGACAATATTTAACAATTTATTTCATGATTAGGTAATCCTGGAAGAGTTGGATAGAAGTAGACCACATATACACAGGGCAATAGAGATGGCCAAAAAAGTTGTTGCTCAAGGAAATGAAGACGAAATTGAAGGTATGTTTAGTATTTATATACTGCTGATCATAATAATTGTTTAAGTAGGGTGTTCAAGTTTTTTGGACATGGTAAAGTTAAAAATATTGCAGGCTCAGTTTGAATGTAAAATTTCTTGCTTGAAAGTAGATTATTTAAGATTTTTTTTTTACTGGGACATAAATCATCTCCGGGACACCCAAGGGACAGATACCTTATTTCCGGGACTTTCCCAGACATCCGGGATGTAATGGCATGTATGGAATGGGCTTATTCATGTCAGTGGTAAATACATGTGAGGTTATTTTCCAGTAAGCTTATAGGTTGGTGCTTCTACTCAGGTGCCTGTTCGTACCTGAAACAATACATGAAAGAGCACTGAACTCTTCCTCCACCTGTACAGCAGAAACGTCGCCATATGACCTATACTGTGTTGGTGTTACATAAAACCCAATCAAACAAACACACAAATACTAATTGTTGTTCCCACCACATACACTGGCCTGAGCTGATCCTCTCTTGGACTACTTACAATTTCTAGAATAAGACAAGTTCTATAACAACATTTTTCAAGAAAATTAAAGGTCGTATAACATGATCTCGTAAAAATATAGTATGCTCAAATTTGATATTAGAATTGATAATTGCTACACAGTCTCTTTGTAAATATTTATAAAATAAACATGTTTTCACTTCATAATTATGTTATTTTCAAATTCCTACACACTATTGGTGGTCACAATGTGAATATATAGTTTATTTTAAAAAAAAACAACTTTATTTGACCTGTAATAGGGAACACAGCTTTCAATAAATAAGTAATTCATTCTTTTATTCAAATTAGACATATTCCATGGATAAGAATTTCATAGATTTCAATGAATTTCTGTGATAAAAATATTTTACGCAAGGATGAGCATAGTATATCTTTAAAAAGGTGACAGTAATGAATATATCAATTATTATTTGCACTTTCAGCTGATGATATTAAACAGAAAATCTCAGAATTGAATGGATTGGCCAATCAGATTAAAGAAGGTGCTCAAAACAGAGAAGTTGCTTTACAAGATGCCTTAGAAGTTGCCGAGAAGTTCCACGATCTGTGCGGAGATACCATGAGTAACTTGCGTGATCTTAAAGATAATATGATATCCCAGGAACCTCCTGGTGTTGACCCTCAAACTGTGAAAGAACAACAGAAAGAATTGAAGGTAATGTTATTGCAGTGTTTTCTTTTCTTTATACCCCCCCACAAACGAAGTTTGGGGGCAGTATATAGGAGTCGGTCGGTCCTTCGCTCGATCTCCCTAATGGTTTCCGGAGGATAACAAAAGTTTGGAATGAGTTATTGTAATCAAACTTGGTATATAGCAACTATTGAGGAAACCCCGGTTGGTATTGCTTTTAGACCACCTGCGGTCAAAGGAGTGGTTGAAATATAGAAAAAATGGTTTCCAGAAAACATGTACAGTTAGGAATGAGATATTGGGTTGGTATTGGGGTCAAGGTCAAAGTCACTGTTACTAAAAATCGAAAAATGGTTTTCAGATGATAACTAATGTTTGGCCTATTTTGATACAATGTTCAAAGAATCATGCTCAATAGTATTTCCTAATGTATATTGTGCTTAGATTTGAATGGCTGAAATACAGTATGAATCATTTATTATAAATTAACCAATGGTGAAATAGCATTTTATACAGTCCAAAAAATATATATGCAATTTAGTTTCACTTTTCCAGACCACAAGATTTCTGACATTTTTTAGGCAAAAAAAATATATACATTTTGGAACTTATATTTCATTTTCTGGTATTTTGAAACAGAAAAAACAGTTGCTTTGTTATAAAGAAAAAACACCTTGCTCTTGTTTGCAAAGAAATGCTTTTAAATCATTCATTTGTATTCATGTAAATTTATTTCATTTATAAATAACAGGAATTGAGAAAAGAACTAGGTAAGGCCAGGTTGTCTCTAGATGAGTGTAGACAGAAAGGTGAACAGTTAGGAACGTTGGTTGGTGACCCAGGTCTTATTGAGATACGTAAACAGTTAGAGGATATCCATCATTTAGCTGACGATGTTCACGATATTGCTAAAGAAAGAGACGATGATTTGAGAACGGCATTAAATCACGCTGACAAGTTTCAGCAACTTCAAGAGGTAGGCCCATACATTGTGATGTGTCAAACCAAGTTTTGTTGTAATATTTTAAGACATAAGTCTGTAGTTCTATGGTCATATTGACACTTTGTACTTATAATTTATGTGGAGATGGGATCAAATTTTCCATTTTCTGGTCTATACTTTCGTAATTTCTTGTTATAGGAATTGAAGGTAACAACCATGATGGTCAGAAGTATTGCTTTCCACAATTTTCATAATTTTGTATATCATAACCTTAGTGCAATTACTGATTAACTTCTATTTAATTTAGAAGGACTTAACCGTTTATTGCACTAAGGTGACAATATTTTTTTAATATTTGATTCCTTTTGAAAGTTTATATATGATACTTTTATGTCCATCAAAGTCCATCAAACAAAATGCATTTCCTTGACTCAAGCTTTATAGCTGAGACATGACATTATGTATACACTAAGGACACAAATCAAAATAAAGTAAAGTTCCTTATGATACATACATGTATGTCCATCAAACAAAATAAAGTAAAGTTTCCTTATGATACTTACATGTATGTCCATCAAACAAAATAAAGTAAAGTTTCCTTATGATACTTACATGTATGTCCATCAAACAAAATAAAGTAAAGTTTCCTTATGATACTTACATGTATGTCCATCAAACAAAATAAAGTAAAGTTTCCTTATGATACTTACATGTATGTCCATCAAACAAAATAAAGTAAAGTTTCCTTATGATACTTACATGTACGTCCATCAAACAAAATAAAGTAAAGTTTCATTATAATACATACATGTACGTCCATCAAACAAAATAAAGTAAAGTTTCATTATAATACATACATGTACGTCCATCAAACAAAATAAAGTAAAGTTTCATTATAATACATACATGTATGTCCATCAAACAAAATTCATTTCCTCGACTCTTGCCATATAACTGAGACATTTGTATATACTTTAAACTGAATCACATTTCAAATATACATTGCTTTATTTATTGATTATCTATATCATAGTCCCTGGAGGAATGGTTACCAGTGGAGGAGCACAAGCTGGCCAGTATGAAACCTCTGTCAAACGACCTTGATACACTTCAGAAACAAGTGGATGAGCTGAAGGTAATGAATTATCTCCCTTTATTTCCCCCTTTTATCATTACGCCCATTCTGGTTTTCATGAATTTTCGAAAAAGCGCTGAGTCATGGTGATAATGTGAAAAAAAAAAAAATTTGTGAAATTCTTTCCAGTGAATTTTGTCGGTTCTGTATTTTATTGTATCAAGGAATATTTTTACAGTCTAAGAAAGATTCCTTTTGAAACACTATAATTTGAAAGATTTTAGAATATCTCTCACTAAGTAACTTAAATGAAAACTATAAAGAAATAAAACATAATAAAATTCAATACTTATATAAAGGGTAGGCAGGGATATCTATTCTGGTCATAAAAACAAGCAGTTTGAGATTTGCTGGTGATGGTTACACAGACATTTTTAAAGGTTCACATAATTTGAACTGCGTCACGACAAAACCAACATAATGCGTTTGCGGCCAGCATGGATCCAGACCAGCCTGCGCATCAGCGCAGTCTGATCAGGATCCATGCTGTTCGCTTACAAACCCTATAACAAGTAGAGAAACTGATAGTGAACAGCATGGATCCAGATCAGACTGTGCGGATGCGCAGGCTGGTCTGGATCCATGCTGGTCGCAAACCCATTATGTTGGTTTTGTCGTGACGCGGCTCATTTGTTGTTTTATCTTTGCTTTTGGATTATATGTTACCCATTTATTTTCCCTGTTATATTATTTTCACATTTTTGTTTTCTAACTGGTTTTGTGTTCTACTTCCTGTTTTAGTTTTTCAAGTCCAATGTTCACCCGCATGTAACCGATGTCCAACAGTTGAATCAAGAGTTAGCTGCCCTTAAAGATATGTCGCCAGTTGCCGCGGAAACCCTTCAACGTCCCGTTGAAACTATCAATGCAAAATGGGCAGATATGGTTCAAGCCATAAGTGAACGAGAGGTAGACACTTTGTTTTAACGTAAAAGAAAGAGAGAAAAATATAAAAAAAATACTAATTTCCGAATATAATATTCAGCTTTCAGATGTATCACATTTGTCTATGTTACTATAAAAACATAAAAATTCTTTTTTCCAATGCTTCAGTTATGCAAATTGCCAAAGTATTTATTGTATTCAAGCATTTGTATTTAGAATTTCATTTTATTCCTGCAAATTAATAATAACTATTTATAGCATTTTCTGTTCCCCAAGCTGATGGCCTTTTTTATACCCCCGCACAACAAAGTTGTAAGGGGGGTATACTGGAATCAGATTGTCCGTCCGGCCGTCTGGCCGTCCGGCGTGCGTCGGTTTTTTCTTGTCCGCCCAATAACTTAAGATTCCTTTGACCCACAGTCTTCATATTTGGCATGGAGGTTAGTCATGATAAGTAGATGACCCCTATCGATTTTGAGGTCACCAGGTCAAAGGTCAAGGTCACAGGGGCCTTGACTTCAAAAAGCTTGTCCGCCCAATAACTTAAGATTCCTTTGACCCACAGTCTTCATATTTGGCATGGAGGTTAGTCATGATAAGTAGATGACTCCTATCGATTTTGAGGTCACCAGGTCAAAGGTCAAGGTCACAGGGGCCTTGACTTCAAAAAGCTTGTCCGCCCAATAACTTAAGATTCCTTTGACCCACACTCTTCATATTTGGCATGGAGGTTAGTCATTGATAAGTAGATGACTCCTATCGATTTTGAGGTCACCAGGTCAAAGGTCAAGGTCACAGGGGCCTTGACTTCAAAAAGCTTGTCCGCCAAATAACTTAAGATTCCTTTGACCCACAGTCTTCATATTTGGCATGGAGGTTAGTCATGATTAGTAGATGACCCCTATCGATTTGAGGTCACTAGGTCAAAGGTCAAGGTCACAGGGGCCTTGACTTCAAAAAGCTTGTCCGCCCAATAACTTAAGATTCCTTTGACCCACAGTCTTCATATTTGGCATGGAGGTTAGTCATGATAAGTAGATGACCCCTATCGATTTTGAGGTCACCAGGTCAAAGGTCAAGGTCACAGGGGCTTGACTTCAAAAAGCTTGTCCGCCCAATAACTTAAGATTCCTTTGACCCACAGTCTTCATATTTGGCATGGAGGTTAGTCGTGATTAGTAGATGACCCCTATTGATTTTGAGGTCACCAGGTCAAAGGTCAAGGTCACAGGGGCCTTGACTTCAAAAAGCTTGTCTGCCCAAAAACTTAAGGTTCCTATGACCCACAGTCTTCATATTTGGCATGGAGGTTAGTCATGATTAGTAAATGATTCGTATTGATTTTGAGGTCACTGAGTCAAAGGTCAAGGTCACAGGGACCTTGTCAAAATAAAGCTTTTCCCCAATGCCTGTCCAGAGTGTATTGATTTTGACATTTTCACATTTGAAGCATGTAGAATACATCACTTAGCAATGCACTGGCTTAGTCCCCTCAGATTTGGCAGGGTGGTTGTCCTTGAGTTCTAAATGGCCACTGTTGATTCTGACAAAGTGGTATGCGGGGGTATTCACGCCATGATAGTGGCAGTTCTAGTTATTACAAGTGAAATAAACACAATTCATAGTGAATACCAATAATTGTATTATTATAGATTTATTTTATTGAATTTTAAGAATTTAATCTTTCAATGCTAGCTGCCATATTAACTTACCTATAAACTTGGTAAACAGTCTGGCTACCCTGCTTTGAATTTGGAGAAGTCCATTATGTAGTTTTAGGGATTTCAGAATCCAAAATTCAAAATGTACTAAAATTGGTCAGTCACTAATATAGTCTCATCAGTCCGAAAGGATGTGCAGGTTGGCCTAGCTGTGTACATGTTCTTTATGACATATAGGTATTTTATTGTTGCATCTAGCATTGATAGATATAATGATATCTACACTGATTCAAAGTTAGCAATGTTTGATAAATTGATTGATTGATTGATTGATTGATCTTGAAATGAATTTCTTTCACAAGTCATTGCCTCATGTCATGCCCATTGTTTTGTTTAGTGTGAATTAGTAGAACAAAATAATCATAGTAATGTTGGTTTTTTATTGTTTTTGGTGCAGGATTTTAGAAAATTTGAATTGTTTTCTTTTCTTTATGTAATATATTTAAAGTAGAATAATTTCAAATGTCAGTAAATTAGTTCTTTCTACACATTCATTTTAAAGACTTACACTTTTAGGCCGCTTAGTTTTGAGTTTCTTTACATTGTCTTAGCAAAGTGAAGTCAAATAAAAAATTCTGAAAATCGGAGATCACTTTAGAACAGTGAAAACAAAATAAAAATTGTTGGTGATAGCCGACTCGCTTTTATTTAGTTCATTCGAGAGAGTATGTAATTTGCAGCATCTTTCACGGCCCCTAGCAATGGCTTTAGCAGCAATCCACAACACTTTATGAATGTGTTGAAATCAAAATCTCTCTTTCCTCTTAACATTTTACTGACAAGAGCAACTTCAATTTACTGTAGTTGAAGGTATTTCAATTTGTTTTGGATGGTCCATTTTAATGGAAAACATTCAAACTGTACCTAAAAAAAGTTGTTTTTTTTAAGTTGAGAATGAAAAATAAGGTAAAAAGACCATTTAAGTTTGAACTTGAACAATTATCCAATTCCTCAATAAATTTAGGGTGCATTTGATTTATATATCTGTGAAATTTAAAGGCTTCTTTTTTGAGAATTAATCATTTGCTATATTAATTGTTTATAGAAACAATTAGTAAGTATGGAACTAATTCTAAGCGGGTAGATTGCACTATCAGAGCATTTTATTAACTTGTAAAATACAAAATTAACTTTTATTATTACTTACATTTTTTATTATAGAATATTATTTTAACATCTGGCTCTTCTAAACTGGCCTCCTTGTTAGATGAAAATAGTGCCTGAAAAAATGCTCTAACTTTGAAATAGCTGACTAAATTTGAAAATAAAGTAGAAATTTTTTTCTTACGAAATGAGTAGTTTGAATTAGATGATTTAATAGCATAGAATTAGATTTGATTTTAATTTTGCCTTTATAATAATAAAAATTTTAGACTTTTAGAGTTGATTCTAATTGCCTTTGTAATAACAAAAACGTTAGTCTTACAAAACTTTAGTCTTAGAACTAAACATACTTTCTGAAGAGAAACCTGAAAAGAAAAATAATAGCAGTTTTTAACAGTCTGTTAAATGTAGTCTAGATATTTTTTCTAGAATTTACCCTTTACTTCATAATCATGCACTTTTGAAAATTTTGTCAAAAAAATTAGAAGAAATGCAAATACATTTTGTAATTTCATTATTTTAATGGCTTAAATACAGTTTTGAGTAGAGCATGAAACTTCATTCTTAACTTTAAAGGGACTCCACTGAGGTTTTTTTCACATGACGAAACTGAAAATAATTTTTCGAGATTAGTGCTCAGTTTGATGTAGGTCTAGATCAATAACTTGTGTTCATTCGCTCTTGCCATTTATCCAGGATAATTATTCAAATTGTGAAAAATGACCCAAAATGGAAAAGCGTTTAAACGCTTTTAACTCAAATCGTATCAAATATAGCACAAAAATACGCTTTTCAATTCATTTTTTAGTATATTTCTGAATTTTTTTTTGCATGTCTTCCTGTATTACGTGCCCCAGCTGATGTGTGTAAAATATAAATTTTATGATTTTGAACCTCAGTGGAGTTCCTTTAACCTTCATGAAGCCTGAGTCAGACCAGCTTACATTTCTATGAAGTTAGATCAGGATCTGTATTGTTAATTGGTAGATAAATTTTAACGATTTAAGCCATTCCCTTAAAATGTATAATGGACAGTTCCAGAAAAGTAAAGCTGGACAAGTTATTATTAAACTTATAATGCATGATAATTTTGGTTAATTCTGACAGTCATGTTAATCTTTAATAAGAATCGATTCATCTAAATCTTTATCCAAATTTTTTTTTGTCATCAGTATTCTGAGAAAGAAATTTTAAAGAAACAAAATAAATTTTAAATTTTAAAAAATTTTAAGGGATTAGAATTATAGGAAATTGATAGTGTGTAGACATCTATGAAACAGACAAAAATCCTCTTACTTTATGATTAAATTCTGCATGTTGCATGGCCATAATAGTAATCTCTCTCATAATCATTCATATATGAGGCAGAAGTTTAAAAATGTGATCTTCTTTGAAATTTAATTAAAATTTTAGCACTGTTTTATTTTTTGTTTAATTGACATCAGATGTTTCCATGGCAACAAAAATTACTATATTTCCATGGCAACAAAAATTACTATATTTCCATGGCAACAAAAATTACTATATTTCCAATTTTTTCAAGTTAAAGAGATATTTTTTTAGGATAAAATTGTATAGTTTGATATTGTAACATTTATTTTCAATTATTTAATTTTATCTGGAATAATAAGTTTGTTTATGATTAGTTATACTTTTGGATAGTCATCATTTATGTTCAAGACAATTTGATTTGATTTTAGTTGCAAATTGATGCTTTTCTGGTCATTCAAAAGTAGCATTGTGTAACAAAAAAAAATCGTGAAAATTTATTAACATTAAAATTTTGTTGCCATGACATCTGATAACACAAGAGATTTCACTGTATATTTCCTTGTTGCTAAGGAACACTAACATCTTTATTGAGGACTTATGGTTGCTATGGTGATGTTTTTGCACTATTTAGGTTAAAGGTCACATTTCTTTGGTGAGTACAGAAATTTTCCTGTGTCAATGCTTGTGTTTGAAGGGAAGAATAGAGACTAGAAAATTTCTTTCTTATTTTTTTGCTATGTTTTATAGAGCTAAATACATTAATTTTACAATGATTTTTTTGCCATTTAGGGGAAATTATGGAAAGTTATTTAGATAAAAATGATATGAAAAGATGTGTTTTGTAGTGTAATAGGGTTGTTTGCCTAGAACTAATGCAAATGGTTTTGGTTTTCAGAATGAAAAATATTATAAATTTTTTATTTTTTTTAAAGAAAAACTGAAGACATCAATATGAAATATTTAGAAGGGACTTTTCTTTGTTTTTCTAAGAGGGAAGATTTATTAAGATTTTTAGCATAAACATTGACATTTTGGAGGTGTACCTATCTCTAGTGTGATTGAATTACCTTTTTTGTTCTTGTTCAGTGTACTATTTACTTTTTCATTATGTATTGTTTGAACCATACTAAAGTTTTTGTCCTTCTGTCAGTTGTAACACCAACCCCGCCCATAACCCCGGGGGCCCAGGGGAATAGTGGGAAATTTAACTATTAGAAATTATCTTCCCTCCTGGGTAAAGGCTGTGCCTTGTAGGGACAGGACAGTTGGATGGTAATTTATCCTGCTACTGTCTATAACATCAGCTGGATAAAGCCTTGCCGGATAAAGTTATCTATCTCTAGTCATTACGTCACATGATGACATCAATTGTTTAGCAGCAAAACAAAACTACATATCTATAGATGGGAAAGTAAGAATGAAACCATTTAATTATTCCAAAAACATGATAAAAAGCAGGATAAATCAAATACATGATTGATGTCGGGATGGAGCTCGCCAAGATACACTTTCTCGCTCACCGGATAAACCTTCTCCATCCCGACATCAACCATGTATTTTCTATATCTCTTGTAAATGTTATGCCCCCCACACTGCAAGTTCTGACATATTCCTTGCTATCTTAAAGAGATTTAATTTTACCACCACAGTAAATCCACAGTACATAAGGTAAAATCTTTGCTTATAGTCATATCTGTGTCTGGAATAAATTTCTTTGGGAACTATGAGGGGGAGGTGGAGGTTGAGTGGATGCTTCAGAAAGTGAGAGTCGGGGTCTCCCGGTTGGGGTTGGGGGTGAGGCTGTTACAAATGACTGGACAGTGTAAGCCTGTTTGAGATGTTTCCTAGTAAATTATATATCATGGTTATTTGTTTACCAACTTATCATTATTTTATCATTTTGGTTAACTCTGTTATGTTACTAAATCCGTACTAATTTCACATCACTTGTGATTAATACATCAAAAATTTGATTTTTTCCCCTTTTCAACTTAAAAAAAAATCTTGATTTTTTTTTATCAATTTTGTTGAATAATGCCCTTTGGTAGATAATTTGGTCATTGTGTTGTAGTCTTGAAACATTTCTTCCTATATTTGAATTAATTGTCATTAAATTGTAGTGTTTCCACCAAGTTTGTCAGTTTTTTTTGCCAGTATTTTGTTTAAACTAACAGAGTAATGCTAAAGTTTGAAGATTTCTTTTTTTTTTTACCAGTTATAATTTTTGATCAATTTGCCATCATTTTTATGAAACTAAAGATGCAGGCATTACTACGTGTATTTAAAAATGGACAAAAAGATATATGGCAAAGGTTTCACATTTTTACACATCTTTCAATGAAAGGTTAGCATCTTGAACAGTTTTTTTTTTTAACTTTTGAAAGGAAAAAAAAGATATAAATGCATGGTGTAATTTTGTAGTTATTTTCTAAAATTGATAGTTTGGGCTAAGACCTTTGATGTGTGATACATATTTTATTCTATTTTAAGCATGCTAGGTTTTGCTTGTATCTAGCACTGCAGATATTTCACTCAATTCGATCTGTGTTGAACCAGGGTATTTGTATTTGAAAGACCCTGGTAGAGTGTGTAGTTTTTAGTCTAAGCATATATTGAATTTAAATTATTATATTATTTTAGGCAATAAGTCTTTTTGTTGTAAAATTAAGTTTCATTTTTACATGGCCTTCTCTTTTAAGTTAACTTATTTTTAATGTGTATCAATAATATGCAATGATTTAGTTTTAAAACGGTATTGCATGGTCACTTTTTATATCAAAATATGGACCATCCTTTTATAGCTTTACATGCATGAAGTTTATTAGATGAAATTTATCTCTTATTAGAGTATGAAAGCATCGTCTTTTAGTTTGTTTTAGCACATTTTGTTTGTGTGAATTTTTTGTAAAATTGTCGGCTTAATGTTTTATGTTTTGTTTAACTTACAGTCACAGCAAATGTAATTCTCACAGACACCTATTTGTTACTAAAAATAGAAAATTTTAATCATTTCACGGTAATTGTCCAGAAATCCTATAGAATATTATGCTTGTCTCTCAACCAAAAAAGAAGAAGAAAAAAGTATATAAATGCATTTAATTAGATAAAGCATGGCATTTCAGTTATGAAATATTACATTGCCTCATATTTGACCTTCACATTCAAAATTATAACTTAAGCTCAACAGTTAGTATCTGACAAACCAATTTTTCGGTTTTAATGAATTAAATGTATCCTCCCAGGCTAATAAATTAACATAAATTTTTAGGGATATATTTTTAGATCAGTAAAGAAACATAATACAGTGTATAATGTTATTTCTTGCAGGCTAACCTTCAGGAGATGCAATGTAAGGTTGGTGATATTGAACGAGGTATGCTGGACGTTACAAACTCGCTGGAGAAGGCAATGACAGAGTTAAACCTTATGGATATAGCCACAGGCGATCCTAAATGCCTTGAAAAACATTTGAAGAAATTGAATGTAAGTGTGATAATGGAGTGGGACAATTTAAAATAACACAATATATATCATTTTGTTGATCGAAACATGATACAATATACAAATAAATTTCCAAAAAAAGTTTATTTGGGTGATGAAAACAATATAAAATAACACAATATTATATCATTTTGTTGATCACAAAATATGATACAATATACAAATAAATGTATAAAATTATGCCCTCAAAAACTTTATTTGGGTGATGAAGATTTGTATCATAATGTCTTTACACTGATTTTTGTGAGTAATATAAACTGCCGGCCTGAACACCTTTAGTTGTTCAGACACCTCATTATCAAATACAATGTATGTAATATGAAAAAGCAGTGATGGCCTAGTGTATTAAGATGCGTGCCTCTCAACCCAGGGATCATTGGTTCAAGTCCTGATAAGTGGTTTCACAACCATGTTTCCCCATATGACACCAGTATGGGTTAGTTCAAATAAGCTGCAAGGTTTTATCACAAGATGAAATAAATATGAGCCGTGTCACGACAAAATCAACATAGTGGGTTTGCGACCAGCATGGATCCAGACCAGCCTGCGCATCCGCGCAGTCTGATCAGGATCCATGCTGTTCACTATTAGTTTCAATACTTGTTATATGGTTTGTAAGCGAACAGCATGGATCCTGATCAGACTGCGCCGATGCGCAGGCTGGTCTGGATCCATGCTGGTTTCAAACGCATTATGTTGGTTTTGTCATGGTGCGGCTCATATGATAAAACTCATATGTTATATATGAAAATAATGATACCTTAGAGCTAGAAAAAAAAGATATTCATCAATTATAAAGTGTCCACTTGGAAAAAAATTGAAGTCTCAACTCTGGTTGAAGGCAGTTTAATGAATTAAAGAATCATTTAAGTTAAAATTGGCCTTAAAAGGGAAAGAATAAAATTTCTAATTTCCAAGAATCCAGTAAATGTCTCATAATAACCTCTTGTATACAGGCTGATGCTTACAGTAAAAATTCAGGAGAATTCCTCTATCTTGTCTGTATATTTGATATTATAGATTATCTCCCCTTTTTGCAGCTCCTTCAGTCAGATGTAAAAGGTCAAGAGCGAGCTTCAAGGAAGTTAAATAAGGCCCTAGATGATACTCTCTCACGTGGAGGTCAGGATAGTCCTCAGATGAGAGGCGTTCAAGATGAGATGAATGAAATGTTACGACGTGTACAGGCAGACTCTAAAGATAAAGAGGCTAAAATGCAGGAAAAATTGAGACAGGTAATTTGAGCCGTGTCATGACAAAACCAACATAATTGGTTTGTGACCAGCATGGATCCAGACCAGCCTGCGCATCCGCGCAGTCTGATCAGGATCCATGCTGTTCGCTATCAGTTTCTCTACTTGTTATAGGGTTTGTAAGCGAACAGCATGGATCCTGATCACGGATGCGCAGGCTGGTCTGGATCCATGCTGGTCGCAAACCCATTATGTTGGTTTTGTCGTGACACGGCTCATTTAATCGTTAACTTTTTGACCTGCAGGAACCAAAAGTGATTAGCCTTTGCCACCAGTATAGAGCCAGGCCAGCCAGAACATCCATGAAGTCTGAAGTCTGGCATGGCTCAGTACAAATGGTAGCTCAATTTTTGATATTGACATCCTTAAACTAAACATTGAATTCCAAATTCAAAGAAGGGCCAATTCATTATTCAAATTCAGAAGGTTAACCATGTGCTTAAAGGATTTGCATGCTTTGGTTTTGTCAATTCAAAGTTTTAAGGATTTTAGTTACATATATAGACCCAAAAACCCAAAATCATATAATTGTAGAATGTTTTCTTTTTTTCTTGATTATTTAATCAATTGGGTCCAGACTTTCAAATGCAATAATGAAGTAACTGTACATGACAGTATAGAAGATAAAGGGATTTTAGAATAAAGAATTAAGCAGCAAAAGTATAAAATATGGCTAGAAACACCCTATACTCTGTATGGATTTTATATAGGTGTAACTATGTATTGCTGCTTTTCTTTTAGATTTAAAGATATTGAGATAACTCTTGCATGCCTTTATAAAGAGTTACATCCCTTTTCTGATTTGTCAGTCCGAAGACTTCCAATTTAGATTTGTATTTTATGATAATATTATGTAGGAAGTTATAAAACCTCAACTTTAAAATTGTTTTATGCTTATTAATTATCATATGCTGTGTCTAATTGCAAGTGTATGTAGTGTTAATGTATGAATCATATGCAAGATATATTGGTGTGTAGATTTATAGGAACATTAAAGATAATAATAGGAATGTTTCATGCATTATTTCTGACATTTTAACACCAAATGTAATTGATAAGGTGAGGCATAATATTTATTTTCTGTGACTACTTCTTTCCTAATTGTTATGCTTATCTTGATATATCTGATTTCCTCTTTGATTGCACTTCTGTACTAATCTTGTTCTCTTATTCTTTTGTTAACTGAAAATCATTTTGCCTGTTTAATTTTATTTTTGCCTATTTCATAACTTTTGGCTATTTAAATCACTTTTGCCCATTTTAATCTTTTTCGTTTGATTTTCTAGGTGAAGAAGTATGTAGGAGATGTAGATGATATGATACAGTGGATTAGTGATCTACGTACAGAGCTCAAATCAAACACCCCATTTGGTGCTTTACCCGACACTGCCAAGGAACAGTTTGAAAAATTCCAGGTATACTCATACTGCCATAATTGTGTTTAGGAAAAAATGATAATAATTCTTATGCTACAATGTTCAAGTAAATATTATACTTGTTATTGACAAAGATGTACAGTATCATCATTTGTCAAAAAGAAATATATATGATTTAGGTTGTCTGTTTTTTTTTTTGACAAATTTGCAGAAACTGTATAGTTTTTTTCTATAATTTTTTGTGCAAAGTCCAGGCTTCAAGGTTATAAAACTTTATTCTGAGTTCTGTCTCAAATCTTTAGATTTTCATTGGTCAGTGTACATGCTGTGTAAGTTTCTGGCCAATCCTTTTCTTGAGATTTGAGCTTGGAGAATTTCTTTATAACATTGGGGCCAGGTCACATTAATAGGTCCAGATTTCGTCAGGCTTGAGTATATCTTGAGATCTCTCAGGAGAAAAATAAACCTTTTGAGAACATGTTGTTGTGAATATAGATTTGAACTTAAAGACCTAACTGGTTCTCCTTTATCTAGATTTGAACATAATGACCTAACTGGTTCCCCTTTATCTAATGTATCTCTGTAATATAATGAATAAACTCCCTTTTTTACAGGAGAGGCATCAGGAACTACAGAAAAGGGAGGAGCCAACAAAAGGTTTGCTAGAGAAAGGTCAAGAGTTCATTGATGCATGCCCACCTGAAGATGTTGTACAGATCTCTGATCGTATGAAGAAACTCAAAGACCTATGGAACGATACAAAAGATAGAGCTCAGAAAAGAAAGGTATTCAATCAAACATGTTTTAACAAATATATTTTTATCATTTCATCAATATAATATAACCAAAACCTTTCTGATCTTCAGTCCAAAGTTTTACCAATGGTTAAGGGCTTAAATGTATTGAAATATACAGTCCTTTAAATGATTTAAATAATAAATTTTGGTTTAATGTACCTTCTTTGGATCTTAAAGAAATGACATTTGCAGATTTGCAGACGCATATCTGTATTTTGAAGGTTATTTCTTTTATCTTCCTGTTCAAACTCCTGCATAACTTTGACTATTATTTAAAGGACAAAATGGATGAGCATCTACTCAACATTGATGAATTCCATGGTACTCTAAAGAACTTCACTGACTGGCTGAATAATGCTGAAGTTGCTATACGTGCCTTTAAATATCCAAGCAAGATCGTACATAGAGTTGTCAAACAGATGGAAGACCATAATGTAAGTATAAAAAGGTATATGACATCATAATGCCGTAGATAACATTGTAATGCAGGTGATGATGTCACAAATACATGATGAACATCCTAAGATGATGTCATATGTCAAATGTCACTATAGTTCAGAAGTTATACTGGAGGAGGTTACATAATTGTGCTTTCTGTAATGTATCACATACATGATGACATCATGAACTTGGATGTTCATATGTCACATTGTGCATATGTAAATAATCACAGATGGTTCAAAAGTTTACCTCACAGATGTGCAAAAGTTATTGGGAAAAGAGAAATGATGACCTCACACTGTAGGAGATAACATCATTGTGTACTCTGTACTGAGTCTACATAACAATGGCCACAATCAAAACAACAATTGCATACAAAATTGAAGTATTCTTACAGGTGAAAATTGTTTTCCTATTAACTTAGACATGTACCATTTTATACCAATATGAATTATGAAAGAAAGTAAAGGAATAAATTGTTTTGATTTTCAGAAACTAAAAGCAGAGCTAGATGCCCAGATCGACAAAATGCACACACTGGACAGAACTGGTACCTACCTCAAATACTTCGGTCGTAAGCAGGATACCATCTATATAAAGAATCTATTGGTTGGTATCCGGCTACGATGGAAGAAGCTGTTAAGAAGAACAGATGAGAGAGGAAGACTGTTCAAACAGGCCTACAAAGAAGATAAAAGAGTAAGTTTAAAGAAATATTCAGGCGTTTACACAGTTTGAAAGATAATGTTTAAGCTGAAAATTAAGGAAAACACTTTTAAATTGCCTTAAAGAACATTGAGTTTCATAGTTTCCTTAACAAATGACCTATTTTTGATACTTTATTTAGAATCTATAAAAAAAAATGTTTGAAAATCCTTTTTACATGATTAAATTTTTATTGTAACAAGTATACAATGTCAATCAAATCAGTCTTTCTGTTGTTTCTTATTGCTAGATCTTGCTTCTAACATGTCATTTATCTTCAGTTTCATGATGCATGGAAGACGCTTTGTGATTGGTTGGATGAAAGTACTCCTAAACTTACCAGATTTATGTCCCCTGGATACGCATCCAAACAGGATGTTGATGAGCTAAAGGTGGGTGGAGTCAGTGTAAACAGCATGAATATTCATGAGGTTATGGGATGTCCAATTTGTAAATTTATATTATGTGAATAAACAGATTATTGGAATGGCGTATTTATTGTGCATGTACCTGCATGTACCTTGGGTATTAGGAATTTATATATAAACTTCATAATTGTACATTCACAAAGTTTCATTCAATGGCAGCTAAATGACAAAAAAAAACATTGACCAATATCAAACAACATGGCAATCTTCATGTTTTCATCAAGATATCCTAAAAATTGATAATGGATTGCTCCATGAGTGTGTACTGGATAAGCCTACTTAAGGGACGCAACAGGATGGAGAATAAAACGATAAAAAAAGTCCTGCTTATGTTTAATCATTGGCATAGCATATCATTGCAGTATCGTGTTGCCTTTGATGGTTGAAGTATTAGAATTGCAACCACCGTTTATCCTAGCATTATCGTAAGAGGCGACTAAATGGATTCGAATTACTGGAGTCTATGCATCTCCTACCTCAAGCATGTGAGATGGTTTTGACCCCTGATATTGCGTTGGCCAAAATCATCTTTTCTGTCTCGGCGCCATATGTCCTAAATTTGGTTGGTGTGCCATAAAACAAAACAAAACAAAAAATTTAATATCATTTTGGAAAAATGTACATAATTATATTCACAAATTTTAAATAAAATGTTACAGTGATGCTTGCTTTAGCTAGAACTCCAGAGCATGTTAATAATGAATAATGCATAGCATATCTTATATTACAATCTTTTACAATTTTATATGAAATTGTATTTCACCATACTTAAACTATAATGTTTATCATTGGCCACGATTAATAACTTCTTACTAATATTTAATCATTTCCTTATTTAATACTTTTATACATTTATAAATACATTTATTTTAAACATTTGTAGCGCTTGATTTAGTCAATAATATGAGTTATGCTTATTCTTAATCTTCTTCTGTTATGCCTTTTCACAGCAGCATTGCATGCTCTTTTCAAAACTATCTTAAATCGAGAATATTTGTACATCATTTGTATATTACACGTAGGGATACCAGAAGTCTTCCTTCTGAAGTAAAGCTGTTAGTCGCCATATGACTAAATTACATGAAATCCAACAAAAAAGTATGTTATATTACACTAAAAATCAGTATGGGAAAGGAAGCTGCCTTGCCCATTACAGTCTTGTTAAGTACAAAGACGTATTAATCTACATGAAGAAGTTATCCAGATGGAATTTGAGCTTATCCAGTACTAAAATCAAAACTTCTAGTAATTGCTACCAGTATATATAGCAAGACCTTCCTGCATACATTAAGTCCAGTTAAACTGTTTGCTGGCAAAACTGTCAAAATTTTGTTATCTCTAAAATTGACATGAGGATTTCAAAATAATATTTAAACACATCTATTTAGGAAATTCACAGCATGATCAAGACTAGAAGGCGATTATAAGTTCTTCCTGAAATAACTTCAGAAAGGTGCTCCTAAACCCAGTGCTTTAAGCCACCAAAGGTGATAAAAGCCAATCAAGTTCAAATGAAACATTTAATTTAAAGCAAAAATAGTAAGCTGATAACCATGGATAAAAAGAATACCATGGCAGATTCTTGATGGTCTTACATGACACAAATGGTGATAAAAGCAATAAATAGTACCTTGATGTTATGGCATATGGTCTTATTTTTAAGCATGGTGCATTTAGCATGTATAGCTTTTAGATTTTGTAAGAAACATGTATTTTATAATTGTATTATTGTAGTATGCTTTTACATTTCTTTTATTCACAGGACACGACTACACATGAGCTTGAGGTATTATACATATGCAATGTCTTGAAAATCCCCCGTTTGCTGTTCCTACTGCTATTGCTAGTTATACCCCCGCACAACAAAGTTGTAAGGGGGGTATACTGGAATCAGCTTGTCCGTCCGTCCGTCCGGCCGTCCGTCCGGCCGTCCGTCCGGCTGTCCGTCGGTTTTTTCTTGTCCGCCCAATAACTTAAGATTCCTTTGACCCTTAGTCTTCATATTTGGCATGGAGGTTAGTCATGATTAGTAGATGACCCCTATTGATTTTGAGGTCACTAGGTCAAAGGTCAAGGTCACAGGGGCCTTGACTTCAAAAAGCTTGTCCGCCCAATAACTTAAGATTCCTTTGACCTACATTCGTCATATTTGGCATGGAGGTTAGTCATGATTAGTAGATGACCCCTATTGATTTTGAGGTCACTAGGTCAAAGGTCAAGGTCACAGGGGCCTTGACTTCAAAAAGCTTGTCCGCCCTATAACTTAAGATTCCTTTGACCTACAGTCGTCATATTTGGAATGGAGGTTAGTCATGATTAGTAGATGACCCCTATTGATTTTGAGGTCACCAGGTCAAAGGTCAAGGTCAAAGGGCCTTGACTTCATAACGCTTGTCCGCCCAATAACTTAAGATTCCTTTGACCCACAGTCTTCATATTTGGCATGGAGGTTAGTCATGATCAGTAGATGACCCCTATTGATTTTGAGGTCACCAGGTCAAAGGTCAAGGTCACAGGGGCCTTGACTTCAAAAAGCTTGTCCGCCCTATACCTTAAGATTCCTTTGACCCATAGTCTTGATATTTGGCATGGAGGTTTGTCATGATTAGTAGATGACCCCTATTGATTTTGAGGTCACCAGGTCAAAGGTCAAGGTCACAGGGGCCTTGACTCCAAAAAGCTTGTCCGCCCAATAACTTAAGATTCCTTTGACCCACAGTCTTCATATTTGGAATGGAGGTTAGTCATGATTAGTAGATGACCCCTATTGATTTGAGGTCAAAGGTCAAAGTCACAGGGACTTTGACTTCAAAAAAGTTTGTCTGCCCAATAACTTTAGATTCCTTTGACCCACAGTCTTCATATTTGGCATTGATGTTGATCATGATTAGTAGATGACCCCTTTTGATTTTGAGGTCACTGGGTCAAAGGTCAAGGTCATAGGGACTTTGACTTCAAAAAAGTTTGTCCACCCATTAACTTAAGATTCCTTTGACCCACAGTCTTCATATTTGGCATGGATGTTGATCATGACTATAAGGTGACCCATATTGATTTTGAGGTCACTGGGTCAAAGGTCAAGGTCACAGGGACCTTGACAAAAAAAAGCTTTTCTTCTCAACTGTTAAAGAATGTCCTGTCCGCAATGTATTGATTTTGACATTTTCACATTTGAAGCATGTAGAATACATAACTTAGCAATGCACTGGCTTAGTAACCTCAGATTTGGCAGGGAGGTTGTCCTTGAGCTCTAAATGGCCACCGTTGATTCTGACAAAGTGGTATGCGGGGGTATTCACGCCATGATAGTGGCAGTTCTAGTTTTAGAATGTTGTGCTCCATGTTGCTATGGCTTCCAATTGTATGAGTTTGGCCTACTTCATTGATGAAATACTTCATTGCTTTCATTGTCCAATACTTAAAAATCGACAAAAACGTTTTGCTGTTTCTTATTATATTGACTCTTGTTTTAATAACACATAGCTATATGACGCTTACTTATTTTTTAATGTCAGGCAAAATTCTGAAGTATGCCAAACTCGTACATGTTTATGATGGATCCATAGCCCTAAAAATATGTTAAGAAGTCATTTGTAAGTCTTTGTAAAATTTTATTATGAAGTTTAATGAAGGAAGACATTTAGTGTACGTATAGTATGTCCGTTAATTCCTGCATTTGTATTAAAGATTTTGCGTAAATAACCGTACTTATATTATATTTATATAATATATACACACTTTTGTCCGGTTTCACAAAATGTTTAGCTCATTTTGTTATACTTGTGATATTCACAGTGTTATTGCTACAATATGCCTTATTGTTAGTGTGTATTTGTCCTGTTAGGTCACGTTATATTTCATTCTCAGCACCTTAATTATAGTTCTCAAAATATTAAATCTACCAACAACCACAACAACTTTTTGTTACATCTTTACATTATAATGCTTATAATTTCTCTTCAATGCTTACATTTACATGATCCTAGTAATAACTAATAATGTTTTTTCTTAACACTTTAGTCACGGCAAGCTATACATGTATAATCAAATTACCCTCTTCCCATACAGATACTATATTTTACCTTTCCAATTTGATTTCCATTGAACTTTATTCTATATTTTATCTTTCCAAATTGCATTTAACTTTTTGCAACTAACGCATATTCCTGGATCAATTTATATGTTCTTTTTCTATCCCTGCTTCCGACACATATCTGTACATATGTATTTAACTATCTCCTGATTAAACCCCACACTTTCCCTTAAATCCCACAATTCCCTTCTACTTAACAATGTTTAATTGCTTAAAACCCCTACCTTTTGCTCTAGTTTCTACTTAAGGAACACAACTTCAACTAGCTAAAATATATTGGATTAGATCAAGACAATCATAAAAGGTTAAAATTGCATTGCTTTTATGAAATGAATATCCGAACCCATTAACATTTTAGTCCCAAAGCAATCAGTTGGTTTAATGACTTTTAGATCAAAAATAACAAAATTTTGCATATATTTAAGAACGCTTATACCGTCACACCTAAGTGCAATAACGTGTTAATTCTTATTAAAGTTATTATAAGGTGGTGGCCTGTTACTGCGCTAAGGTGACGATAAATATTCAGTGATTTCTAATAAATTAATCGTTTCACATTTTCTGGATTCAAAGTAAGTAAAAATTCTAAAAACCCCACCCTCCTCGGACTTGACAAAAAGGTTTTATACAATGTCAAATTATACTCTTTCAGATTATTTCCATAAACTACTACACGCTAAGATTAAAGTGAACACCATAACTTAATTGCACCAGATGCCGCAACATATATTATGTTGTATTTGTTGAGTGTTTTACTTTCAGCAAATGTTTGTCAAAGTAATTGTAATGTTGACATCTTCAAAATTGAATTATAACAAAATTCTTGTCACATCATTTGTCTTTCCCAATATTAAATGGCATGCATTTCTTTTGCCAGCTGTGGTGAAAAAAAAGTAAAATGCAACCACAAACATGTTAATCATAAAAAGGTATTGGCGATGTTTTAGCAAATGCCTTCTTGTTCATACAAATATAAAACCATGACTGAACTGTATGCTCCTAAATTTAAGTAAACATATAAGAAAAAATTATTTTCCCAATTCCAGACTTAATATTTGATATATATTTGAAAATTCCTCTTTTTTACGTCATGTTTATGTTTAAATTCATGTCTTATACAGAATGTCCTTCAATACTGTGGTAAAAGAGGGTAATAGTAGGATCGTACAGATGTGCATGTTGATGTGCTCCTTAGACCAACATTGCATTATTGAACTTCAATTTAGACAATTATCAATTAATGAAATAAGAAAGTTTTGGTACACATTAGGCGCACTGTCGGAAAGAAAAATCTTATTTGATTAATATTGATAAAAAATTATGTAAAGCAAGAGCAATCTTCCTTTCAATCAAAGATTATTTTCTTACTCTTGGTCCAGCTAGCTTTAAAGTCGACTTATTCTAGTTCACCCACCCCTACATATACATTTAAGTTCTCCAGTTTACTTTTGATCTATATCTGATCTATGTCCTTGCTGTGTAATTCAAGGAGAATAAATCGTTTCAAAAGAGATCTTTTTATATAAATCAACAGGTTCTAATCCCATGTTTATTAACAAATAATCAGCTGTGAAAGGAATGTACGAAAAAAAACATGAGAATATTTTACAAATGTTTAAACATTTTAATGAAATCTTATTTTTTTCTTATGTTAATTTAATAAATGAGCTTTTGCTAATTTATGATAGTGAACAGCGTAATTGTTGAAGTGTGGCCTTTCGTAACGTTTAAATATAATAGTAATTCCCCTTAACTTTCAATGTCATTTCTTGTCGTGGTTTGTTACATTATAAACAAATAATCGTTATAACTGCTTTTAACATGATTTTTCTTTAAATCAGTCTGGCGTTCAACTCGGTTTGCATTTCCTCTTTATACTAATCCATCAGTTGCAATGTGCGCAATTTTTTTTCAGGAAGTTTTGTGTTTTATTTGCCAGAGGATATATTTACGAATTGTTTTGCCCCATGCATCAATGTCCCTATTCGTCCCTGTTGATATAATAAAGCAATCTTTAACGCTTTGTGAATTTTACACCGTAGTAGTTTATGTATACATGGGTAAATTTACATACAATATTCACAGGAAATATATACAGTCATTTTATAAAACTTTGAAAAAACACTTTGTTGTGGTATTTTTGTGCGAGTGTGTGTTAGATGTTCCACACCATTGGAATGATTACTGGATTAAGTATCACAAGGTCTACTTTCTGTAAGTTAATCGTCTGTATTGTCATTAGAAACATCAGAAATCTGACCAGGTGGTTTAAGTGTTTCACTCTCATCTTTTGCACTGTTTAACACTTGTCAGTATGTGTGTACACAAAATGACAGGTTTTTGTAGTTTATTTGAATACACATCCGACTTGAACCAGATAAAATTATATATTTCGTGATAGGTGATATCGTATCAAACAAATATAGGGTTGTTGCAATTAATAATTGTGACCTTCATTGGCGATTAGTCACTTTAAAACAATGATTGATTTATCAATGCTGATTCGAAAGTTCAAGTCCCTTGGTTGACCTTTAATAGCATCTTTTCCTTCTAACTGTGTGCTAATCGTGAATTTCTAATATGATATTTACCTGTTATTATTGTTACAAGTGAATTAAAAAAAAACAGGGACTCTTGTTTTTGTCTTTTAAGAAAAATGTCATTTGTTTTATAAATGTTTGTTTAATGTATGTGTTTGCCTATCTAATTACATTTTGTATACATTCAAACATTTTTTGTAATTGTTGAAATCATCTATTGGTATGTTAATTGAACTTATCAGTGTGTGTGTTTTATTTAGTGATTTAGTGATCTTTATTTTAAGTTTTCCATTGTCAGTACAGATGTTCCGTTAACAGTGTATGTTCAGGTTAACCTAAAGATATCCTTTTTTCCAACCAACATTCTATTGATACATTAATCAACAGAATGTAAGCAATTTGTAGGAATTTGATACAATCTATGTTATCATTTGGTTGATCTTTGAAGTTCAATTGATCGTAAAGTATGATAATAAAATGTACATAATACTTTACTCATACCTTTGTCGACGAAAACTGAACCATCGCATTATGGACATCTTTTATTTCTTGTTCAATTGAATTTCCGTGAACCGAAACATGTAATTGTGTTTCCTTAATAAGATAAATAAATCTGCAACTTTGAACGGTAAATCATAAAAGTGGTCTGACCTGAAATTTCAAAATAATCGAAACGGCTTCAAATTGAGACATTAAAGCAGTTGTTTATTGAAAAAAAGGACAGCTTTCTTATACCAACTGGAGCAGGTTCCATCGATTTAGGAAAACAGAAAATGCATTGTAAAAGAAGTCAACATTAAGCTGCATAATTTGGTCTGAATTGATATGTCGTTAAGTTTATACAGTGGTTAATACAACATGCCTCATCCCTGTATTCATCCTGCTCTTGCACTAAAAAGTAGTTAATGTAGAATCACAATCAGTAATATCGAAGGATCTGAAGATTACCAGTTATAAAAGAATGGGTTGCCTCTGATATTTTGTACCCCAGGCAAAGGCGAACGAATTACGTGAATCTTTATAATTTTTCTGTGCATGCTCACAATCATTAAATTAAATAACAAAGTGTTATTAAAATGTTCCTTAAAGTGTTCAATTAATGATTAATGGACATCATTAAGTGTATTAATGCCCTCCTCCAAGTACCTGCTTCTTGCGAATGTTATTGTAAGAGGCGGTGTATGTATTTACGAGTGGTAATTGTATAGATGTAAAGCTGTGTTTATGGGGCTTTTTATGGTTTATATACAGTACAAAATATATTATTTGACAATTTGACAAACACGTTTTGTAAATTTTACAAAATATGAGTATAAAAACGAGGTCAATGAAATTCTAAACCGACAAAGCGTAGCATTGTATCATATTAATTTTGAGATATTTGATATAGCGTATCATGGTTTTATATGAGAAATAAACTTTAGTTTAGATATAGATTATTTGAAATATTGCAAAACCATACGAACATCAATTTTCTTACCTCTGATCACTTGAAATATCTTAATAAACGTGCACATCTTCCAAACTTGATGAAACCATTCATTATTTAAAGTGAAAAATTCAAAATAAGTAAGAAAAAGTGCAGATCAGAAGGCACGGATGTGCCAGCAGATCTTGGTCTGCACTGGTTACATGAATATAATCTGTTGCTACCAGTAGATTAAGGGTAAATCTTGCATTTAATTAAAATCTGTACAGTAATGACATGAAACAGACGTGGGTGCAAACCTAAGGCTTTTGCAACTTTGGAAGATTCAAATCACACATTTCATTTGATTTTAATAACTTTGAAACATGTTTGCAGGGGAGCGTTCATAGTTGATCAATAGCTGAAGTGTCTAAGATTTTCTTACTTTCTGTGAATAGGGTCAACAGAAGGCACCAAGTGTTCAATACATGATAAATGTGTGAAACATATCGGGTGACTGAAATGGCAGATTTAAGTCGCCTAATAAATCATTCATTTGTACAAAATTACGTAATTATGTCATTTTTCTGCCATAAAGATTTGTGAAAAGTTTATGTTATCATATTCAATGTAAAGTTTTCTATTCAAATTGAACTATTAGGTTTGGCATTTCATTCAAGAAAAAGTAGGAACGCTCAACGTCCTTGATTGTGCGACCACATTATTTGCTAGTTCATTTCTGTGTAGCCTATTTTCGTTTTTATTTTGCTTCTATTAAAGAGGACCGTCATAATGTTAAGGGGTTATTTTAGATCATATTTCAAACTTGTCACCAAATACCCTCATTATTTACAATTATTGAAGATAATAATCATAAATCATCACTTGAATCTGTTATCTACGGTCACGGGTATGGAACAGGGGCTAGAATTACGTCCAATTGTTTTTCTACCTTTTGTCTTGTGAAACGAGACACTTCTTGTGTTTGTTTTGGAAAACATCTTGCCTGTCAGAATGTCGGAGACCACCACGTGTATATAAACACTTTCAACAAAATCTTAACATGTTACTATTTTTAGGAGTCAAAAATACAAGATACGTATTATTCGTGTTCATTAAATGAGTATTTAGATTTTGTTTAATTGCTTATTATCTAGCATCATCGTTTTCTATTTGATATATCTAAATCCTTTTCTTCTACATTTCTAGTCTTTTCGTACGCGTGAGTATGCATCTCTAGAACAACATTGGCTGTATTTACGTTAAACGGGTATAATTTATTTAGATTAATACACATTAGAACGATGTGGCTTTTGCAAAGTACCTATTTGGCCGGTGATATTTGTATCAAATATCAAAGTTACTAAGTATCATTTGCATGGGAAAACAGTCTGTTTACCAAAAGGTCACTACTTTCAATTATTTGACGGACATGTTTTAGTTAATTTTCATAGGAGGCGGCTAAATTTTAGGTAAATATGTGAACCTGATTTGTTTCATCTTTTGGGAAGTAATCTTTTTAGTTTTCCGTTTAACTTTCAACGTACAATTACATAGCTTAAGAAGTTTTCCAATTTGAGAAAGTTTATAATGGTTTTATACTATTGCTCGAACCTTTTTGTGTTATGATATTCATAATGAATTTATAAGTGGTCGCTTGGGGTGTTACAGCATTCATTTGACTTACTTGAGCAATCTTTTTAATCAAATCAGTTATAGCCACGCTTGATTTTGTAGCGTCTTTTTAAAAGTTATTTCATGTATTTATCTCTGTACCAAATAGGTTATGTTACTTAAGAAAGCCATTTATGAACTGTGTAATAGTTGGTTAGCATTAAATAAAGTCATCTTTATCTTCCATTGCAGGGGAAAAAGGTTAACAATAAAACTGTTTCCCCTCTTGTATACAGCTATCATAGTTCTTACAGTTAAAACTTTTTATTTCCATACACCAACAAAAATTGCACGTTTTATTGCCTAATTAGCTATTACAATAATTTGTCTTCTGTCTTTTTCAAACCTTTGCCAAGCATACTACTTACCAGGTTCTTTCAAATAGACTCTGTTCTTACAAAACGGTGTCGATACAATAGTATCTGTACAATCATTTTCAATATTGCCATCATGCTTGATTGTCACCATACCTGTAAGATATAAATGAAAACTCACTTTCCAGGCACCCATATTTGCATAGCTTAAGGTCTTCAGTGTAACTGTTTATATACTTTGACATGACGTGAATGCCGCATCAGATGGAAAAAAAACAGAAATGTTAAATAGCGGCTTATAAAGATTTGGAAGCCAGAACTAATATTTGCATTGTCCTATTTTCGTATTTGCATTGCCCTATTTTCGTCTGTTTTCACCCATATTTACATTGTCATATTTTCGTCTACATTGTCATATGTTCGTCTGTTTTCACTCATATTTGCATTGTCCTATTTTCGTCTGTTTTCACCCATATTTGCATTGCCCTATTTTCGTCGGTTTTCACCCAAATTTGCATTGCCATATTTTCGCATGTTTTCACTCATATTTGCATTGTCCTATTTTCGTCTGTTTTCACCCATATTTGCATTGTCCTATTTTCGTCTGTTTTCAGAGATTCCAGCAGCAGTTAGCCGCCAAACACCCAGCATTTTATTCAGCATCTCGCCTCGGACGTAATCTGAAGGACAGATGCACTAAAGCAGATCCTGAGCGTGAGGAGCTCCAGCAGATGCTTGATGATCTGAAAAATAAATGGAATTCTGTTCGTTCTGTTGTATCCAAAAGGTGAGTCACTTGAGGCTGAAGGGTCAGTTTGTCTGTTGGTCTTGAACATGTGAAAAGGTGTGCAATTTGTTCAGCTGCCTATCCCAGCCAACCTTGCCCCCATTTGGCTATCATAAGACTTTTTTCAGAAATGTATTCTTGCCAGTTGGGAGCCATGCGTCGTTCTGCATGATCAAACGTACATTGTCCGTGGCAAAATCGAAGTCAGACGGACCATGAATGATTTGGGATGCACCTCAAAATCGTTTAAATACCGTACACGTACTTCATGAAGGACTTTCTTTTGAACAATTAAAGGACATACTTTTACTACACTCAATCAAGTATTAATTTCTTAAATGTTTAAATACAAATAAATACTTTAAAATGTTCCTAACACAAAGCTACATTTAGTAAATAATGCATTAACTGTCCCTTTTAAATAATACGTTTGAGCTGCCCCCTCATACCTGTGTAAATTAAATGAAGTGTGACTCATTCATCACTCGGTATACTTCTAAAGTTACCGCCCACCGTGTAAGCTACGGTGAAGCTAGAAGCAATCCGAGTAGTAAATGTCAATCAAGAATGACTGGTGTGTAATTGAAAGTTTGTGACAAAAACAAATCATTTGCGTTCTAAAGTGGGGATTAACTGTTGTTAGTTGTTTCAATTGGATTAATTTACACACAAAATCAAGCTGGCGTCGGATTCTGGGACGGACATGGGCTCCGAAGAGGAGAAATGGGGCCAATTAGCAATACCGCGACTGATGATGTTTTCACCCAGGTAAAAACCTAGTCAGGTGAAATTTAAATGTAAACATGTACATTTTAAAATGTATAATAATTTACTACTGTGAGGAATATAACACGTTTTGGTATACTGATATGCTGTTAGGAAGATATTAGACAAGGAAGATTAATTAATTATTTAGAACACAGCTTGGAAAACGCTATCTGTTCTATATCGACCATGGCATCTGGCAATTGTATTTTGAGTCGGTGTTTATTTACATAAACAATAGATAGGACAGCATATGTTGTAGTAAAATAACAGCATTTTTAACTGTATATCAAACAATACATATTTTTTTGTAAACTTTTTCTTTGTTGCTCAATGCTGTGAAAAGGTATTAATTAACTCATTTATTTTGGAAACAAAGAGATTTCATGACAACAGGACAAGTTCCTAAATAGCTTTTTAAAATTTCCACCCTATTATTTTACATAAAATAGTTTCTTAAATAAGATACACAGGTATATAAAGTAGATATTTATAGGTATTAAAATTATAAATACCTTATAAAAATATTTTAACTCTGAAATACTATTTCTTATTCTTTTTTATTAAAATCATGCCACTATAAATACTCTAAGAAGTTTATGTTTATAAGACAATAGACCATGTCTCATGGTTTGAACATTATTATTAGATAATAAATTAAATAGAATTGTATTTGCATATACCTACAGAACTGTTTTAAAGCATGATCTATTATGTAACCTTATTAACTTTAAGGTGGCTTCTTTTTTATCAATATAAGAATTTAAAGATTGCCTCCCCCCCCCCCCTCCACCATTTCTCCATATAATCTTATAAAATATTTCCTTCTCCAAGTTAAATAGCAAATTCTACAGTCTTATCACATGGAGTAATGACTTTATCACCTATTTAACCAAGCTGTTTTAATCACTTATTCAGGTGTAATCTTGTGTCATTAACAAATACCTGTTGGCAATTGACATTTTGTCGATTTATACAAAACATTGGATGAGTCACCTAGTGCAAAAATCTATTTTACTTTCCAGTTGTAATAATTATTATGATAACAAAAGTAATTTTAGGTATTGTTTGGGTTTTGTTTCAAAGGCATACATGTTATGATTGTATTTGTAAAAACTTGAATGACTGTCTCCTTAAATTTCAATTCAAATATCTTTATTCACCCAGGTGAATAGCACATTAAAAGAAAGCACATTAAATTTTATTCAAATGCTGCTTTTTTGGGTTTTTTTTTAGGATACCCTGTATTAATCAATCATTACTCAACACACAAAAAACAATGTTTTACAATACAATCAATACCATAAAACAAAGGGACAAATATTATGCCCTTTTAAAAAGAATTTCTCATCTACAAACTCATAGATTGCCTGAGGTATATAAATGTGAGCCCTATAAATGTAGTTGTCAACTTGTCAGAATAAAATTCATGACATTACTTTGTGTAAATAAATTGTAATTTCCTTATTACTTTTAAAACAGATATGAGTTATTCAGAGTTGCATGCAATACTAAATTCACTGTATATTCTCTTTAAAATTTTGTTTTGATTTTTAAAAATCATTTTTTTTTAAAGTTTTTAAAACAGTTATTATATAGAAGTTGTATTTAGCGACCAAAATCTTGCTATTTCCCTTTTAACAATTGCCTTAACACTGTTTCTGAACTTACTGTTTTATGATTTATGATCTTCAAAATTAATTTAATTTTGTTTTGAATTTTAAAAGTGTTTAAAACAGTTATTATAATTATATTATATATATACATGCATGTCATATCTAACAAATAAAACTTTGAAATTTCCCCAGCAGCTGCTTTATGATATCAAGATTTTAAATTTCCAGTCATAACAAAGTCAAATCAAAATTTTGGAAAAAGAGATACAGTTTCCTGTTACATTCAGTACAGTTGATGGTGCATTTAAATTTTCATTGCACACACAGTTTACTATCATTAGATATGCAGCTTATTTAATAATATGATACTTGCAATAACTGATTTAACTGATGTAAACTTTCATTGAGAGATGAATGCTAGCCTAGCATATCAATTATTATGCTAACCGCATTTATTTTGAATTCAAATCACAAGCTGTACTGTAGGACACATTCTTGTGCTAGTTTTATCACATTTTAAATTCTGTATATTAGATAATAGAATAAAAAAAATGCATGCACTCCAAACCCCACGTGATGTTGAATTATGTAACATGCTCTGTTGGTTTGCAATATGACTGAAATTTTAATGATGTGTTTTGTGACAACTGATTCCACTCATGTCACCAGTACTGCAGACCAACATCTGTCAGCACATCCATGCTCTGCACTGTTTGCTCCAGTCATTACTTTGAAAATTTCCCTAAAATCATAGTTTTCTCGCAATTGGAAGATGGGCAAAATTTAAGACATTTTGTATGATAAGAGTTTAGGGAACTTTGATTTTAAAGTTATGTCCTGTCAAATCAGAATTCAAAACCAAAATAAGGGAAGCAGCAGTGGCTTAATGGTTTAGGTGTCTGTCCCAGAACGGGTAATGAACCCTACTTGGTTCATGACCATGTTCCTTCATATGACAACAGTACTGGTTGGTTCCAGGAAGTAGACTAGGAATTGATTAATAAAGTTGCAAGAACTTGTTTCGCTTAATGAATATGTTCAGTTGAAACAAGATGAGTCCAGTTTTCAAAACACTGTAACACTGCTTGATTTAACAAAAGACAAAGGAGACTTAAATCTTATAATGAACTGCGCCATGACAAAACCAACATAGTGCGTTTGCGACCAGCATGGATCCAGACCAGCCTGCGCGCAGTCTGATCAGGATCCATGCTGTTCGCTTACAAACCCTATAACAAGTAGAGAAAGTGATAGTGAAAGTGACTGCGCGGATGTGCAGGCTGGTCTGGATCCTTGCTGGTTGCAAACCCATTATGTTGGTTTTGTCATGGCGCGGCTCAAATGTAGTCAGTGATTAAACTAGACTTTGTCTATATTTGCAAACTATGGGCAGGTTGCTTGTGGCAGTAAGTTTTAGTCATTCGGTCAATCTCCTGGTTGGTATTTTAGGGCTCATGTAATTTACAAATGTTCTGTACACAATTGATTGAAAGCCATAAAATTTGAATTGTTTTATTGGTGTCCAGGAATTGTTGGTAAATATACCAGAGAAAGCAACAAAAGAAGTGCATACAATGGTCAGCAAATTAGATAAATATACCATAATAAAGGGAGGTAATTCACTTATAAGCAAATATTGCACATATGTCATTTATTGTGTGCAACTTTTCTCAGACCTGTGCTAGAAATGAATAATCTTTAATTGAATAAATATCAGACATTTTGTCTTGGCATATTTTATAGCATTATTGGGTCATTATTCCCAGTTGAAAATAGTATATTATTTTCCCAATCCACAGGAAAATATTCCCAATTGAAAGTTACAAAATGAAAATATTAAATAAAGAAAACCAACATCTTTAAAAATAAGGGCTTCATTACTGTAATAGTGCTTAAATGTTTGAAGATGCCATCCTTAGGACAGACAGATTTTTTTGCATTCATTTTATCACTGCAAAATTTCAGTCATTCATTTTTTCCCAATTTTTAACAAAACATCGCTGAAATTCCCAATGCCATGGGTATGGGTCATGTGAAAAAATCCCTGTTAATAGTATCATATTTTAGAAAGGACTTTGATTTGTTTGTGCTTTTGCAAAATTGTTTGTTTAGTACAAGTAGTAGTTTTAATTTTCAAGAGTTTAATATTGAATATTAAATCAATACAAATTTTGTGATAATATGATACTGAAACTATATGTATGTGGAGGGGGGTGACTTGGGGTTGAAATCATTAGTTTGACCACCCCCTCAGAGATTATAATTATATAGTTTTATAGACAATGTAAATAAGAATCACTCTACACTCATATGTAGGCTTTTAATAAAATATGTCAAATATCTGCCATGGCTATTGGTTGCTGTTTGTTTGTACTGTGTCTGACAACCACTTACCTAGCGAGATATCCATGTTGTTTTATAATAACTGATCCCCTAAATACCAGTCAGTCAGTATAATAACTGATCCCTGCTATGTAATTTAGTATAACTTAACCCTACCAGACTGGTCTCCTTCATGTTTTGCTAGACAAGGGTTATGTCACTGGGGTTATAAGAATTATTGACAACCAGTCAAGTGTACTATGGTCATGTATAATATGACAATTTTCTGTCTAATAG